TGGGCTGTGTGGACTCATTGAGAAGTGAAAGTCACAGTGGAAGAAGTTAGCTAAGATGGGGCTGCTGTTAGCTATTTGAAAAGTCAGAGAAATGCTATGAGTCTCTATCATCACTGATGTTTCCTTTTCTTTTTTAAAAATTAATTTTATCTTATTGTTTAAAGTATTACATATAGAAGTATATACATCTCCTTTCCCCCCCCCCATTGACCTTCCCTCAGCCTCTCCTTCTCCCCCTTCCTCTTTGAAATCAATAAAAATATATTTTTCCTTTTTCTAATTAAAAAAAAAGTCAGAGAAAATGGGACCTTGGAGACAGGTTCAGAGGGTTAGCCCAGGATGAGCTGCCACTGCCTGATGCTCCCCTGGTGGCAAGTTTCCTGGGGCCCTTTAGAGTTTAGGGGAAAAAAAAAAAAAAAAAAGATGCACTGCTGAGACAGAAGAAAGGCATGGGTGTGCTCCAGAGAGAGCCCAAACTGGGTCTTTGTCTTGAGGGTTCTTACCTGTTTTTTCAAAGGCAGAGAATTTTATGAGATGTCTTAGGGAAAGATCTCAGAAGACTATTCATCAGCTTTATGCAGATGTGCCCAAATTACACTTATTCCCCTGATTTCATTCATCTTTAAGTGTAGTTGGCACTAATGGTATTTCTGTTATCTTCCTGACTAGGGTGATTTAAGCTATTTACCCTCTAGTTGGGGAGAAGAAGTGAAAACCATTTACTCTTAAGTGTCCTTGGTCAGGGAAGATAGAATTTGGCAATTTACTAAATGGCTGTAAATAGCTTGGTAATTTATCTATTTGTCTAGTGTCCCTTTTCCTTTTGTCCTGATTCACTAATCCTGATTCACTAATTCACCAGATTGGGAAACATTAGGGTTTTTTCTTCCTCAAGAAGAAATTGTATGCTGCAGTGGCTACTCTGGATCCATTCAGCCTCATTCCAAGGATTGGCTGTTGATGATAAGATTGAACGGAGGGCAGTGTTGTGATTGGTGCTGGTACTCACTACAAATCTTTCCTATCTGCTAATGCCTCAAGCCTCTGCTACCCTATGCTACACCTCACAGCAGCAACTAACCACCTTCTCCTGGGAACTCTTCTGGTCCTGCCCCTAGCCCTTGCTGCTCAGGAACCATTGTGATCTCTGCTCCTGAAACCAATATTATTTCATTTCCAGATACACATTGAGTTTTTCCCACCTAAAGTGTGGCTTCATTCTCTGGAACGAGAGCTCCCCCTGTGGAGAGATTTGGACTAAGTCATACAGGCCCAGCGGTGGACTGTTAGTATTTGTTTGTTTGTTTGTTTTTATTTGTTTAAAGTATTACATATGTCTTCTTTTTCCCTGCTGGACCTCTCCCCACCCCCCGCCACTCCCACTCCCAAGGGGAAGCCCCCACCGCCCCAGAGTCCGTGTCCATTGGTTATGCTAACAGGCATGCATACAAGTCCTTTGGTTGCTATCTAAGCCCCCCTCCCCTGATGTTTGTTTCTGGATCTATTCTTCTTCATCAAATTGTGCTGATCATTATATCCCACATATGAGTGAGATCATGTGATATTTATCTTTCTCCGACTGGCTTATTTCACTTAGCATAATGCTCTCAGGTTCCATCCATGCTGTTGCAAATGGTAAAAATTCCTTCTTTTTTATAGCGGCATAGTAGTCCACTGTGTAGATATACCATAGTTTTCTGATCCACTCATCTGCTGATGGGCATTTAGGCTGTTTCCAAATCTTAGCTATTGTAAGTTGTGCTGCTACGAACATAGGGGTGCATATATCCTTTCTGATGGGTGTTTTCTAGTTTCTTGTGATATATTCCTAGAAGTGGGATTACTGGGTCAAATGGGAGTTCCATTTTTAATTTTTTAAGGAAACACCATACTGTTTTCCACAGTGACTGCAACAAGAGACTATTTATTAGTATTTAGGTTGAGATTCCAACTCTAATTAATTTAAGATTATATTGACGTACGAATTAGCAAACCTAGGGAGGAAGATGACATCAGCCACAATTGTTCCAAGTCATGTAACTTCTTTCTCTCTCTCTCTCTCTCTCTCTCTCTCTCTCTCTCTCTCTCTCTCTTTTTTTTTTTTTTTTTTTTTTTCCCCATCTTCTGCTTTTGCTTATTCAAACTCTTGGCTTTCTCCCTTCTAACTCTTCCACTGGCCAACACAGGCTGTATCCAGGGTGCATGCTTAGATCATCAGAAGGGAGGGAGAGTTTCTGGTTATAAATAAAATTCCAGAGGAGGATTCTTTTTTTTTTTTTTTTTAATATATTTTATTGATTTTTAACAGAGAGGAAGAGAGAGATAGAGAGCTAGAAATGTCGATGAGAGAGAAACATCGACCAGCTGCCTCTTGCACACCCCCTATCGGGGATGTGCCCACAACCAATGTATATGCCCTTGACCGGAATCGAACCTGGGACCTTTCAGTCCTCAGACCGACGCTCTACCACTGAGCAAAACCAGCTTTGGCTCCAGAGGAGGATTCTGATTGGCTCTAGTCAAGTCACTTGCTCATCCTTGAGCCAATTACTGTGGCCAGAGAAGGAAAGGTTTCTATGAGTGGCAGCCACCCCAAAAGGATCAAAAGGAGTAAGAAGGTAAGTTCTAAGAATCAGAATGTTAGGTAGACAAAAACAGCTAATATCTATAAAGCTCAGGGCTCCTATAAAAGGATATACAACCTTATTGTGAAATGGGGAATGGACTTGAATAGAAAGTTCTACAAAGAAGATATACAAATGGTCAATAATGCTCATTAATCATCATGGAAATGCAAATCAAATCCACAAGATATCATTTCACAACCACTAGAATGGCTATAATGAAAATGTCAGATTGTTGTAGAAGACCAAAGAAAATACCAACACGCTTCCTAGAGAAAGGGAGGGACCCAGTTATTAACACTAGTGGACTCTGGGAATAATTTGCAAATCAGAGTGAAGAAACAAGCAGGGGGCTTCACTTTTTATAAACTTCTGGGGTCTTTGTCTTGCAGATATGGTTTCACTCCCTTCGGTGAGCTTAGAGGAAGGGTCCGGGTGTTGGGGGTAGCCAGGCTATATCTGATCATCTGTCCTGGGGCCAGTGATAATGACCCTTAACCCCCCCCGGGGGGGGGGCAGGAGTGCGTTGTTCACAGTTTTTATGGCCTGACATGCCTTACAAGACCAGTTTCTTCCTCAAGATAATAAAAGTGTTGGCAAGGATGTGGAGAAATCAGAATCCTCGTATCAGAAATCAGAAATCAGAATGCTGGCAGGAGTGTAAAATGAGGCAACCACTATAGAAAGCAGTAGTTATTCACATTATTTAACAGACAGTTATCATGTGACCTAGCAATTTCACAGGAATTTTATCTAGATAGATACAGATACAGATATAGATATTTGCGAAGTAGCACCATCATTCATGATAGTCAAAAGTTGGAAACAACTTCTTGATGAATGGAAAACCAAAATATAATATCCATATAATGCAATATCATTGGACTATTAAAAAAAAGTTCTAATACATGCTGCAATATGAATAAACATTGAAAATATTATGCTAAATGAAAGAAACTTGTCACAGAACATCATGCATAGGATTCTATTTATATTAAATTAGAGGCCCAGTGCATGAAAATTCATGCACTGGAGGGGGGTCCCTCAGCCCAGCCTGTCCCCTCTCATAGTCCAGGAGCCCTCAGTGGTGGGAGGGATCCCAGCAATCAGAGGAAAGCGATACCCCCATCACACCTCTGCTGCTGCCACTGCCAGCAGCGCAAGCCTAAGCCAGCTCTGGTTACCTGAGCCTTGGGCTGGACCTGGACGGCTGAAGGACTGAGGGAACTGGGCACTACCATCTTTGTGAGGTGTGATGGTCAATTAGTATATTCCCTCTTTATTATATAGATGTCCATAATACATAATTGTTGCACAATTCTGCAAATACACTAAAAACCATGGAATGAACACTTTGAATGGGTGACATATATGTGAATTATACCCCAAATAAATAAATAAACAGGGCTTGCTCTGAGTGTCCTGCTCCTTCCTTGGAGGTCTCTGAGAGATGGAGAAAGCTCAGTCTGAAGACAGATTAAATTCCAATCCTGCTTCTGTATCCTAGCAGCTATCTCTGTCCTCAAGAGCAACATAGGGATCCTGGAAACACTGTAATGTGCAACAATACACATTATGGTTAATGACGTATAGTGTCTGATATACAGACAACAATAAACTCTACTGTTGCCCAGTCAGGTGTGGCTCAGCGGTTGAGAGTTGATCCAGGAACCAAAAGGTCACTTGTTCGATTCCGGTCAGGGCATATGCCCAGGGTTGCTGGCTCATCCCCCAGTGGGGTCATGCAGGAGGCAGCTGATCAGTGATTCTCATCATGATTGTTTCGATCTCTCTCTCCCTCTGAAATCAATTAAAAAAACAAAAAAACAAAAAATTAACTCTATTGTTTGTGTGTGCAACACTGCATGCGTGTATATATACACACGCGAACACGGGGCGTTTGGAGCGGTTCTGGAGGGACCTGATCTGGGCCGCCAGCCCCCAAGTCTTTCGGGCCCCGGAGCAGCGAGGCAGCAACGCAGACCATGGACTGGAGAGAGGGACAAGTCCGGCCCCCGGGGGCGGAGGACAGATAAAGAGGGAGAACCATGGGCGTGTAGAGGCCGCCCCAGCCAGCAGACAGATACGCCACATAACTTTTGGGGGCCAGAAACCAAAGCCAACCAGAGATGGGGGATAGATCTCCACCATCCCTCCCCGCCCCGCCCCAGTAGAGAACAATGAGCCCAGCCCCACTCACGCAGGCTCGCGGCGCCCCTGACCCGGTGCCTGCCGGGAAATGTAGTTTCTGAAGCTCCGTCTGCGCAGGTCCGCCGCCCGCCGGCCAGGCCACGCGCAACTACAAGTCCCATCACGCCGCGCGAGACCTTGATCCTCCGGCTTTTGCGGGGAAGGGAGCCGGGGAGGGGGAGAAACATGGCTGAAAGCAGCCAGGGCATCCCAACGAACAGCGGGGCTGGCAGCGAGCGGGACCCGGCGGCCAGCAGCAACTTTCCCGAGTACGAGATGCCGGAGCTGAACACACGCGCTTTCCACGTGGGCGCCTTCGGGGAGCTGTGGCGTGACCGGCTGCGCGGGCAGGGGGACCTGTCGCTGAAGGAGCCGCCGGCATCCGAGCTACCCGGGCCAGGAGGGGTCGCCGACCCGGGCTGGGACGATGCCGCGGCGGCGCGGGATCTGGGCTGCGACCTGGAGGCAGCGACCGAGCTGAGGGCAGTTTGCGGGTGAGTGCGGGGCTGGGGGTGGGGTGGGGGGGAGGTGGCTCTTGTTGTTTGGTGCCAACCCGGGTGCTGCTCTGCCCCTGCGCTCCCTGGGACTGGCCTGGGGGTGCCGGAGGGTGACCCCGGGGGTAGGAGGGCATATGCCGCCCTTCCAACGCTTCCCACCTGCGGGCGCTTTCCCGGAACCCCGGGCCGGGCGGGGAGGGGAGGGAAGGGGAGGGGGCCCGTGATCCGCAGGCATCGTTCCTCCGCGTTGGAGGCAAGAGACGAGAGAGCTACCGAAAAGACTCATTTTTCTATTTGCTTTTTTTTTTTTCTTTCTTTCTTTTTAAAAAAAATATATTTTATTGATTTTTTACAGAGAGAGGAAGAGAGAGGGATAGAGAGCTAGAAACATTGATGAGAGAGAAACATTGACCAGCTGCTTCCTGCACACCCCCCTACTAGGGATGTGCCCGCAGCCAAGGTACATGCCCTTGACCGGAATCGAACCTGGGACCCTTCAGTCCGCAGGCCGAGGCTCTGTCCACTGAGCGACACCGGTGTCGGCTTTCTGTTCGCTTTTCATGAAAGTGCTTGTTGTTGTAGAAAAGCGATCAGAGTCACAGCGACGCGTGCCTGTCGTTGCCGGGCGCTCTGGCCGCGGAGGAGTAACGGTGAGGCCGGAGGAGGGTTAACACCTTGATGCGCGGGGGTCGGTCTCTTTGGGGACCATCCTGGTATGTTGTTACTGACATTTTCTCCCCCAGCTGCCGTATGTGGAGTGAACCTACAAAAATGACTTTTAAAAGATTTTTTTTTTTCTTCCTCCATTTAACAGTGCTGGCCTCCTTTAATTCAAAGGCCGTGTAGCCGAAGCCGGTTTGGCTCGGTGGATAGAGCTTCGCCCTGTGGACTGAAGGATCCCGGGTTCGATTCTGGTCAAGGGCTTGTGCCTTGGTTGCGGGCACATCTCCTGTGGGGAGTGTGCAGGAGGCAGCTGGTCGATGTTTTTCTCTCATCCATGTTTCTAGCTCTCTATCTCCTTTCTTTGTAAACAATCAATACAATATATTAGAAAAAATAAAATAAAAGGCCGTGTGTGCTTGTATGTATAGACTATCCGCACCGATGTGGCCTAGAATTCTAACCTCCTCAGAGCCCAGTGCAGGATTTTTATCTCCCTTAATCAGCTGGTGATGTATTTTGGGGCACCACCTGGCTCACTAGGAACAAGATGCATGATTGCTTTGCCTCTTTCTGTTTTTTGTTTGTTGTTGTTGTTGTTGTTTGTTTTAGTCTCGATAAACTGCGGTGCCTTGAGGAGGACCAGGACCCAGAAGTCATCCCAGAGGATACTGGCCTACTGACTTTGGGGTATGGAGGACCGTGCTTTTATTCATGCTATTTGTTTAAATATTTTTTAACTTCATATTATTCAAAGGTTGATTGTTGTCACCCCGCCCCCTCCATTCAACCATCATTCACATTTTGTCCTATTTGCTTAGCTGTGTGTCCTTTTCTATTGCTGAACCCATTAAGTTGCAGATAGCCTGTAGCTCCAAAAAGTATCATTCTTCCTACTTAGAGTGGGATGATAGCAACTGAGAAAATTAACAGCAAATATATAACTTATAATATCTAGTCCATATCCAATTTTGTGTTTATTTTTAAAGGTATAATAATCTACTTAGATATCAGATGCAAGCTAAATATTTTGGTAGTGCCTCTCAAACTATATGGTAAAGGACCAGTTTTGTTTGTTCTTTTAAATTTTTGACATCCATACATTTGTAAACTAGGATAAAAATGAATTGCTAGAAAAATGGTATTTGTAACTCTGCCTTGCTTTTTGTTGTGTATTTGTTTGTTTTTTGAAACAGAAACAAATCCATTTCCTTTTCCTACTGCTAATATTTACATGAGCAACCTTTGGAGTGCTAAGGAAAGGAAGATTCCTGTCTGATTTATTCATTGTGCTGTCATATGAACAAGCTCATTTACTAAGAAATTGTCAATGGCTCTACCCTCTTTTATGGACACACTTCAGACTCCTTCCTTAGACCTTTGAAACCTTCCACATATATAGCACAAACTTGCCTTCTAGATTCATTTTCAATCACTTTCTCTTTCAGATGTCAGGATGCACATGGCCCCTCTCCCATCTGAAACTACCCCATCTTTGAGGCCCTAAGATTACTTTCCACATTACTAAAACCCACCTCTGTCCCTTCTAGAATGTCTAGAAACACTTCTAACATTTCTAAAATCTTTGAAGACACATTTGGGAATCCAGACTCTTTTCAATGGTGTATTGCCCTTAAGCATATTATGCTGCTTTGTTCGATTGGCACTCTTTACCTACTGTTTGTTGATTAGTTAGATTTTTCCTAAACTGCACATCTGGGTGTGTCACTTTCCCTGCAAGCCTTTCATTGGCTTATGCACAAGTCCTGGGGTCTTCAGTGGCTCACAAGGGCCTCTAGAGAATGGGTCTTGCTGATCTTTTCAGCTGTCTCTGCAGTCCTCCAGCCACGCTACAGCTCTTTTTCAGATCCTACAATGTGCTCTCACTGCTGGCCTTTGCCTACAACACTTATGTGTGTACACACACACACACACACACACACACACACCTCTGTACCCCTACTTTCCCCCTTCTCCCTCTCTCCAAAAATCAATAAATAAATAAAAAAAATTTTTTAAATATATTTTATTGATTTTATACAGAGAGGAAGGGAGAGAGATAGAGAGTTAAAAACATCGATGAGAGAGAATCATTGATCAGCTGCCTCTTGCACACCCCCTACTGGGGATATGCCCGCAACCAAGGTGCATGCCCTTGACCGGAATCGATCCCTGGACCCTTCAGTCCCCAAGCTGACGCTCTATCCATTGAGCCAAACCAGTCTCAGCAATAAATAAAAAATTTTAAATTAAATTTTAAAAAGAATTTATTGTAATAGCAGGATACAAAATTGATACATGAAAAAACAATACCCTTCATGTACACAAACAACAATTAGAGGACATAATGGTAGAGAAAAAAAATCTCATTTACAGTAGTCAAAAAGGTTAAATATGTAGGAATAAGTTTAGTAAGAAATGTGTAAAATTAAGGAAGCACAAATAAGGAAAATTTCAAAACACTCCTGAAAGACTCAAAAAAAAGACTTAAAAAAATTGAAAGATATCCTTTGTTCTTGAGGAATACTAAACATTGTAATGATGTCAGTTATTTTTAAATTAATTTATAAATGAAGTGTAATCCCAAAAAAATATCAGAAGTATTGATTATTTTATGGAGTTAGACAAACTGATGATAAAATCCATATGGAATATATGCAATAATAACTAGAAAAAAATTCTGGGGGGTGGGGAATTATGAGGGCATAGTAATTTTATCAGATATTAAAATATACTACAAAGTCCTCATAATTAAAACAGTGGTATTAGCTCAGGAATTGCCAAAAAGACCAGTGGAATAGAAGGAAAAGTTCAGTTATATTTAAAGAGGTATGGAAATTTGGTATGATACCACATAAGAATAATTTCCAAAGGGATTGGGAATCGAATATAGAGAGTGTGTATTTTCTAGAATTAAGTTACTGGATTATAAGTGATAGGAGTTGGGTTTCTCAGTTGTGGAGAAAGAAGTTATAAACAAGAGAAGGTTGAAGGGTAAAATAAATCCTGTGATTTTAGTTTGGGATTGAAAGTATCATTATTAACTCATGGTTTTAAATATGTAACAGAAAAATGCAGGTATCTGTACATGTGTGGGTTAGTATACATATGTGTTTCCACTTCTCTCTGCTGCCAAGCCTAGAAGCAGTGACTGCAGTAACAATGAGGATGCCTCTCTCCAATAAAGGTATTAGGACTCCTAGGAGAAGTGGTTGATTCCAGGGCTTAGACATGGAAATAGAGGATGAGCCTTGAGCCTCTTATGGTACCAGAAAGTAAGAACATGCTACAAAAAGAAAAAGAAAAACGATGGCTTATTGAAGGAACAGGAGCCAACATGAAGAAGCTCCTAAAGGACAAAGCTAGAACATCTTGAGCAACAAAATAATGATAGTATTAGATTTTAACCTGTAGAATAAAATAAATAAATATGGGTTTAGGCTAATATGAATGACCAAATAAATAAATGGGAGGAAAGAGATAGGTCTTCCTCATAATATCAGTGAATAAATGTAGAATGAGGGAAATAGAGAATCACCATTAATAAATATTGCAGGCAAAATCTACCACGAATGCTCAAATTTCTGGGTGAAACAAGGAGTTTTTAAGGAGAAACAAGGTGCATAGTTTTAAAATATCTCCCCCAAATACTTAACAAGTACAAAGGAAAAGTATCTTTCAAGTGTAGGAACTTGGGAGACAAGGTAAGCATCACCAGTGACAAGAATACAGGGTGGGCAAAAGTAGGTTCACAGTTGTGAGTATGTAAAACAGAGTAATATATTCTTGTACTATTATTAATTGTATTTCCATATGAAGAGCTGTAAACCTACTTTTGCCCACCCTGTATTAACATCATTAACCTCTTAATACAGTGAAGGACATCATTATTCTTGTGGTATTCTTGCCAAAAATGTATAGGCTAATTCCAATCATGAGCAAGCAGCACTCAAACCCAAATTGAAGAACACTACAAAATAACTGATCAGAGCTCCTCAGAAGTGCCAAGATCATGAAAGACAAGGAGAGACTGCAGAACTGTAAAAGACTGGAGGAAAAAAGGAGAAGAAATGAAATGTGTCCTGCTCAGAATGCTGGGACAGAAAAGAGACATTAAAATTTTTTTAAGCATTACATTTAAATATTTGTGAACTTCCAAAAAGGTCAATAGTTAATAATACTGCGTTAAGGTTAATTTCCTAGCTTGATCATTATACTATGATCACGTACGATGTTAACATAGAGGAAGCCAGGTGAGAAATATAAGGGAACTCTTTGTGCTATTTTTACAGCTTTCCTTTGGCCTAAAATTAGTTCATAATAAATGAGTATTGAAGATGTGTTTGAAGCCCAGTGGAGAATGTTGACGTTTGATTGTTCTTGTGTCTGTAACAGAGTTAGAAAGGAGATTTTGGAACGTCGGGAAGAAACATTAACGATAGATCGGGCCTGCAGACAGGAAGTACTTGCTTATGAGATGGTAAGAGTTTCCTCTTGTCCACTTTTTCCCATGAAACCATGAACTTTGTCATTGGGTGAGGGCTAATAATGACTGTGCGGTGGCTTTATATTGGTTATGCTTAGTTGAAAGCAAACTAGAGAAGCTTGATTGGGACTGGGAAGCAGTCTTTCATCTCCTTTGTTAAATCTATTACTACATATTTTATTTTTTTATGCTATTTTAAATAAAATTGTTTTGTTTTTTTTTAAATGGGTTTTGTATCCTGCAATTTTGCTTAATTTTTTTTTATTAGCTGTAACAGGGTGTTTTTGTGTGAATCCTTGACACTTTTGTACACTGAAGAGAATGCATGGGCCCTGGCTGGGTAGTTCAGTTTGCTAGAATGTCCTCCCAATATGCCAAAGTTGTAAGATTGATCTCCTGTCAGGGTACATACATGAAGCACCCAATGAATGTGTAGATAAGTGTCTTTCTCCCAGGGACTTTATGTGGTGATTGTGCAGATACTGCATGAGTTCTTAAACTAAATCAATCAATCAAAAAAATTTTTTAATGAAAAGAAAGCTCATTTCTCTGTTAGCAGATAACTATCTCTTTCCAGTTTGGTTCACTCACTCTGTATTTCTTCCTTCTTCCCTTTTTCCCCCTTGCCTAATTGCTCTGGCTAGAATTTCTAGTACTCTGTTGAAAGAAGTGACAAAAGTGTACATCCTTATCAGTTGTCACTGTTGAATGTGATCTTCGCTGTGAATTTTTCACATACAGCCTTTATCATGTTGAGTAAATTCCCTTCTATTCCAAGCTTATTTAGCGTTTCATCATGAAAAAGAATTGGATTTGTCAAATGCATTTTCATCAGTTGAGATGATGATGTGGGTTTTCCTGCCATCATTCTTGTAGTGTGGTATATTACATTGATTGATTGGTATGTAACTTATTCTTGTATCCTGAGTATAAGTCCCACTTGCTTGTGGTATATAATCTTTTTAATACACTGTTGAATTCAGGTTGCTAATATTTCATTGAGGAGTTTGACATTTATATTCATAAAGGATATTGGCCTTTAGTTTTCTTGTAAATGTCTTTGTTTTACTTTGGTTTCGAGTTTACTGATCCCAGAATGAGTTAGGGATTTTTGGAGATTTTTTTGAGGACTTGGAGAAGGGTTAAGGTTATTAACTTCCTTTGCAATTTGGGAGAATTCACCAGTGAAATAATCTACTCCTCGGCTTTTCTTTGTTAGGATTTTAATTGCTAAGTCAGTCTCTGTATATAGATCTACTTTGATTCTCTGTTTCTTTTTGAGTCAGTTTTGATTGTTTTCTTCCTTCTGCTAGCTTCAGGTTTACCTTCCTCTTTTCTAATTCCGAATTATATACAGTTAGTTATTGATTTCAGATTGTTCTTTTGGAATGTGTTTATAGAAAAAAAAGAAAAAAATGTCCCAATTTCTCTCTGTTTTTGCTGCATTTCATACATTTCTTATCTTGTGTTTTTGCTTGTACTGTTTTTGCTGCATTTCATACATTTCTTATCTTGTGTTTCTATTTTCATTTGTCTCAAGGTATTTCCTGATTTCCTTTTGACCCATTGGTTATTTGTGAGTGTGTTATTAATTTCCACACATATAATTTTTTCAGTTTTCTTCCTGTTATTGATACCCAGTTTCATCAGCTGTGATTCAAAAAGATACTTTTTATGATTTTAGTATTTTTAAATTGATGAAGACTTGGTCTATCTGGAGAATGGTTTTTGTGCACTTGAGAACAGTATGTATTCTGCTGTTGCTGGATAGAGTGTTTTGTATATCTGTTAGGTCTTAGTTGGTGTATCGTGTTGTTCATGTCTTCTATTTGCTTATTAATTTTCTGTCTGGTTTTTCTACTCATTGAAATTCTGATATTGAAGTTTCCAACTATTGTAAACCATCTATTTCTTTCTTCAGTTCTGTCAATTTATGTATTTTGGGATTCTGTTTTTAACAGCATGTGTGTTTATATTTACTGTTTCTTCTTGCTGGGTTGCACCTTTTATCAATATATAAGGTATCCCAAAAATGGATGCACACTTTGAATAATTGTAAAGGCAGTGTTTATTAAAATACATTTTTTTTTAAATGAGCTATCAGCTGTTAAAGGGTATGTACATTTTTGGGGGGAACACCCTTTCGAAAGCCCTTCTTTGTCTTTTGTAACCTCTTCTAACTTAAAGTCTATTTTGTCAGATAACAATACAGCTTCAGCCTTTTTTTGGTTACTGTTTGCGTAGAATATCATTTTCTGTTCTTTTATTTAAGTACAGTAATAACTTGCTTTCATATTTACTTACATAGTTTATCTGAAAAAATGTCCTAGCCCTTACCGGTTTGGTGGATAGTCACCTTGCGGACTCAAGGGTCCTGAGTTCGATTCTGGTCAAGGGCATGTACCTTGGTTGTGGGCACGTCCCCAGTGGGGAGTGTGCATGAGGCGGCTGATTGATGTTTCTCTCTCATCGATGTTTCTGAGTCTCTCCTTCTCCCTTCCTCTCTGTAAAAAATCAATAAAATATATTAAAGAAAAAAAAGAAAAAAATGTCCTAATTTCTCTCTCATCTTAAAGGACAGTTTTTCCAGGTATAGAATTCGTGGCTGACAGGGTTTTCTCTTCCCTCTCTCCTCCCACCTGGCTTTTTAAAAAATATATATTTTATTGATTTTTTACAGAGAAGAAGAGAGAGGGAGAGCCAGAAACATTGATGAGAGAAATATTGACCAGCTGCCTCCTGCACACCCCCCACTGGGAATGTGCCCACAACCAGTGTACATGCCCTTGACCCTAATTGAACTGGGACCCTTCAGTTCGCAGGCCAACACTATCCACTGAGCCAAACTGGCCAGGGTATCCCCCCATGCTTTTAATGTGTAGTCCCACTGCCTCTTGTCTACATAGTTTCTAGTGAGAAATTGGCTGTTAATCTTAAAGAACCTCATTTTCTTTAGCTCTCTGTATATAGTTTTCTTTAGTTCATTGAGTACATTTAAGGCAGTTGATTTAGCATCATTGACTAGTAATTTCAACATGTGGGCTCCCTCAAGGGTAGTTTCTGTCAAATTCGTTTTTTCTTGAAAGTGGGCCATATTTTCCTGTTTCATTGTGGTTTTTTTTTTTTTTTAATAAGTCTTTAAATGAGAACTGGACACTCTGTGAGTATGTTTATTACTTGTTGAGGGCTGGAGCTATTTGGGACTTTTCCAAACTCTTTTTCCGATCCGAGTATTATGTGTTACGTATTATCACTGATGTTTCTGTTTCATTATCTCTGTGGTCAGCCAGTGACCTACGATTTTCTTAAATGTCTGCCTCTACAAATGAGAACAGGTCCTATCCCTTTAAGTTTCCGATTATTGCTTTTGGGGGAAGCCAAAACCAAGGCAAGTTTCTGCCCCAGTACTTCAGGGCATCACTAGACCAATCCAAACACATAAGCCCTAATATTTGGAAAACAGGGTCCCCACTGCATCAGCCACCATTTCCAGGCCCAGGGGCTGCTATTTCCATATCTGCAAGCAGGGCTGAGAATGGGGGAATGAGTGGTTGTTGGTTTGTACCCTCTGCTCATTTATGAGAAATCAGCAGTTGTCCCTTCATTAAGCAGTCCTCTGGCTGGTACGAGCATCTGATCAGGTTCCACAGTTCTAAATAATACATTCCTCTCTCTCTTCCCATCTTATTGGTTGCTTTGGTGGAGGGACTGATCCTCTTTCACCATTTCGTGTAACATCACTCCCACTTTTTAAATGTATTTTGTACTCTGGTGGCCCCTTTTTTATAGTTACTAAGCAGATATATAAGGACGTGTGGTTTGGTCTAAGATTTGACAGTGTTATAAAGAGCAAGAGTTTTAAAGCCAGATAAATCTGTATTTGCATCCTATCTTGCTGATTTACCTAAAGTAAATCTGAACCTTTGCCTTCATCTTTCAAATGGCTGTCATAATTAATTGTACGAGAGGAGGTATGAAAAGATTTGTAATTGTAAATGCCCATGTTATACCAATATTACTGTAATTGATATCCCTATTATTCCTGTTTTATTATCGATTGGTAAGCACTTAATGCCCAACATCTTACGATATGCTTTATGTACACATTCCCAGCAACAGGTCTATAAAATAAGTATTTCCTCTGTCTTACAGGAGATGAAACTAAAACTTAGAGGTTTTATTAGTTTTCTTGAATTAGAATTAGGAATCAAAATCAGGGCTGTTTGACTCAGTTATTGCTCTTAGTCATTGTCCCACACTGCCTCTTCTCTGAGTCATAGTGATTTTAATGTCTCTTATTAATTTGTTTTTCTTCTTCAGGAGTCACATGCCATAGGGAAAAAACCTGAAAATCCAGCAGACATGATTGAAGAGGGGGAACTTATCCTATCTGTGAATGTCTTCTACCCTGTTATTTTTCATAAGGTCGGTAGAGAAACCTTTTGGATTCCACAGATAATAGGAGTGACTTTTGTCAGATGGTTTAATTATTTGAAGAGTCATATATCTTAGATAAAATAGCAAGTACTATTTTATCTGGCATCGTGCTTATGCTCTTGAGTTCTTTTTTTAGTAAGAAATACTGTAAATAAGATCAGGTTGCAAATCATCTCTTGGTTAATATGATTGCAATTTTAGTGTTGGAATACATACCCTGGTTTCTGCACTGGAAGCAACTGCAAGTATATAGAAATCCATGACCCTAATTATATGTTGTTATGAGGGTTGTTTTTCCTCCCCCAGGAGTGGGGTGACTTGTTCACCAGTTTAGAATACTTGGGAAATTATATAACTAAAAACAGCTCTTCTTTGATGAAAATACACAAAGTTAACAGGTCAGGGGTATCTAGGAATTCCTTAGGATTTTGTAATAAAAAGAACTATCCCATACCAGGGTGTATGTATGTATGTATTATTATTATTTTAAATATGTTATTGATTTCATAGAAGAAGGGAGGAGAGGGAGTGAGAGATAGAAACATCAGCGATGAGAGAGAATCACCAATCAGCTGCCTCCTGCATGACCTACACTGGGAACTGAACCCGAAACCCACGCATGTGCCCTGATTGGGAATCAAACCATGACCTCCTGGTTCATAGGTCGACACTCAACCACTGAGCCATGCCTGCCAGGCGAGTGTTTGTATTCTTGATTCCTCAAATAGATGTTATAAACTTTGACAAGGTTAAATGCATTATTACTGTACATACACCACACTTGTGAATAAGTAGGCTTTTCTGAAGCATCTGGAATATACTAGTAGCTAGTAGTAATTATAATAATTATCTTGTTTGATGAAGATCTTAAATTACCAATCAAACCAAATGAATACAGTGGAACCTCTGGGTTTATAACATTATGGTAGTGACTAGGTTACTTGAGTTCATTGTGGTAATTTCCAGGAAATTTAAAGAGAGTGCTGCTACATGAAGTTAAAAGTCCTCAGGCTTTTCATGCTGATGTCATTTAATAGCATCTTGATTATAAACTTCAGCATAAACTAAAATAAAGTTCTGTTACCAACTGTCTTAGTCCATTCAGGCTTCTATAACAAAATGTCACTGACTGGGTAGCTTATAAACAACAGAAATTTATTTCTGACAGTTCTAAACACTGCAAGTCCAAGATCAGGCTGCCAGCATGGTCAGGTTGGGGCCCTCTTCTAGGTTGAATACTCCTCTTTCATGGCAGAAGTGGTAGGGAGCTCAATGGGATCTCTTTTACTTATTTATTAAAAGAATTTCATTGAGCCCTAGCTGGTTTGCTCAGCGTTTAGAGCGTTAGCCTATAAACTGAAGGGTCCCAGGTTCCATTACAGTCAAGGGCAAGTATTTCAGTTGCAGTCCTGATCCCCAGCGCGGAGGCACATGGTTGAGACAACCAGATGTGTGTCTCTCACGTTGATGATTCTGTCTCTCCATTCTCTAGAAAATCAATGGAAAAAACATACTCAGGTAAGGATTAACAAACAAAAAGAATTTCATTGACTTTTAGAGAGAGAGAAAGGGAGAGGGAAAGACAGAAAATTTAATATGTGAGAGCAAAACATTGGCCGCCTGCCTCCTGCATACCCCCAACCCCACCCCCAGGGATTGAATCCAAAACTCAGGCATGTACCCTGACTGGGAATAGAACCAGCATCCTTTTGGTGCATGAGATGATGCCCAAGCAACTAAGCCACACTTGGCCAGGGCTTGCTTGCTTTTTTTTATTAAGAGAAGTTCATTTAGGAAGTACGAGATAGAAGGGCCCTTGGAGCTTAGGAGAAAGGAGGAAGTAACATGCCGGGGGGATGAAGAGGGGAAGGGAAAGGTGCGGGCATGCTCCTAGAGCCTGGGACAAGAGCACTAACCCTACTCGTCTGAGCCAGTTACTCCCCCAACTCCTTTGGGAGTCAGAATTCCTACATGCACGTTTTGGGTGGACACAAATTTTCAGTCCATCGCACTACGTGTTTCAGTTATACCCAAGGATTTTCATTTATGGAGGTGACTTGAGTGACAACAGGAGAGGCTAATGCCACGGAAAGAAGATTTTTATTACTTACACTTTCTGAGAGGAGGGGGTGTGGCCATGCTTTGTAAGGCCATAGGAAAAGCACTAGTGTCAGTTGGGGCAGAAAGGAGTGAAGGAAAGGCAGAGGCCACAGCCTTTATTAGGGTTTCCGTGAGAAAGGCGAGGCAGGAGAGTGAACAGTTAGGGCTGGGCTCTGAGGCAACACAGGCTTTGTCCTGCGTTGCCTGTGCCTTGATTTAGGATAAGTGAAAGTTGGCATGGTTTGTGGGAGTTAGGTAAAGGAGGTGGGCTCAGGGTATAGGCTCTCTGTTACAGAGGAGGTGTAAACAGCTTTGGCCATTACTTTGGATCTGTACCTAATGAATGCCAAATAGACAAACAGGGAATTTAGGAAAACACAGAACACTAAGTTATGAGGATCACTTAAATCAAGAAAACCAGTAACTTCAGATCTGATCCTGCCAGGATTTATAAGTAAATTTCTTACCTCTAAGCGGACATTTATTTATTTACTGTTTGACTTTTAGCACAAAGAACACAAACCATACCAGACGATGCTGGTACTGGGCAGTCAGAAGCTCACGGAACTAAGGGATTCAATTTGCTGTGTCAGTGACCTCCAGATTGGTGGGGAATTCAGCAACACTCCGGACCAGGCCCCTGAGCACATCAGTAAAGTAAGGTGATTTTTCTGTTTTTATTACCCCTATAAAGCAACAGGAAATAATAGTTCTAAGCTAAGGATGTAATGGTCACTCTAGCAGGATCATCAGTATTCCAGTCAATGCTTTCTTCTGTCCATTCCCTCAAAGCCTGTCTCTTCTCTGTTCTTTATCTTCAAGACTTTTTCAAAGCTTAGGCTATAATCAGTTTTGATTTCCTCATGTCCTGTTCCTTTTCAGTCATTTTTTGTATACTCTTCCTTCACAGGTCATAGTAACCACCTAATTGTTTAACCAGTTGATCTCTCTTCTATGTTGATACAACTGGATCTCAATGTAGCACTTGAATTTGCTGTTCAAGCTCTCCTCTTTCAAACTCTATGTGAGTTTGTTGTAAACGGAGACTCCAGCAAAGGGTTGGAGTCTAGGTCAGAATCTCATTGCCCATAGAAGGACCTGTCTGTTCGGTGACCAGTGTCAAACAGGGACATAGTATCTGATATCTGTCATTGCTTGTGGTTCTCTGGGTGATGCTCTCAGAGGGACAGAGAAACTGACATACTCACTAGATAATTGTGCAAAGTAAAAGACTGGTAGACTGCTATCTAGGACATTTTCAGAAGGGATGCCTTGCCCAGTAAAGAAGTAGGGCTTTGATCCTCCTGAATTTCATGATGTGCAAGCTTGAACTAACTCCTTTACCTGGTACAACCAGCACAGGACCTCAGAGTTACTGGCCACCTAGAAGGGGCAGCACCTCGTGAAGAAGAGTGAAAAGAGGTTTGGGTCAGCTAGAATGGAGACAGAGTGTGGACAAGAGCCGTCACAATCTCCATTTTGATTGGTTCCGGTGCCACCAGCCACATAAATGTTATAACTTATATTTTGTTTTACTTGTTCTTATTCTAATTCTTCTCCTGACCTTCCCCCCAGTTTTCATGGTTTTAGGTGTACTCTACTCTTGGTTAATCTCTCTCCCTGTAGTCACATTGTCTCCTGATTTCCAAACCATTAATTTTTAGTGCCTGCGGGACATTTTGTTTTGTACAGTGATGTTTATGTCTTTATTCTTTTGATGGTGTATGGCACAGAGGAAGTGCCAAATAGTTGTTAAATAAATAAATAAACCACAGAAACCTCAAGCTCAATTTAAAAATATATATATTGATTTTTTTACAGAGAGGAAGGGGGAGAGAGAGAGAGTTAGAAACTTCAATCAGCTGCCTCCTGCATACCCCCAGCTGGGATGTGCCTGCAACCAAGGTACATGCCCTTAACTGGAATCCAACCTGGGACCCTTCAGTCCGCAGAGGCTGACGCTCTATCCACTGAGCCAAACTGGCTAGGGCTCAAGCTCAGTGTTTAATGGATGACTTCCAATTTATTTTTTGTTTTGTATTGTTTTATAATTTGATTGATTGATTGATTGATTGATTGATTTGAAAAGAGAGGAAGAGAGAGAACCATCGTTTGTTGTTTCATTTATGTATGCATTCACTGGTTGATTACTCTATGTGCCCTGACCAGGGATTAAATCCACAACCCTGTTGGGTTAGGATGACAGTCCAATCAACTGACCTACCTGGCCAGTGTGTGGATGAATTAGGATTTAGATGGAAAACACTTTTTGTTCTTTTAGAGTTCCCTTCCAATTTATCTATATATAAAAAAGCCTAAGTGACCGGACAACTGGACAACCAGTCACTGTGGTGCACAATGACCACTAGGGGGAAGAGACTCAACACAGGAGCTGCCCCCTGGTGGTCAGTACGCTCCCACAGCGGGAGCGTTGCTCAGCTGACCAAGGGGTGCCAGACACAGGGCTTACGGTTGGCCACCACAGCCCAGGGATGGCAGCAGCCTGGAGACCTCAGCAGTGTCAGTGAGCCTACTGAGTGGCAGTGGCAGCAGGTGCAGCAGGGCCGGGATGAGCAGGAGAGCAGGTGGTGTTGGACTGCCGGTTTGGCCCTATCCCTGCAGGCTATGCCGAAGGTCCCCACCTGTGCATGAATTTATTCACTGAGTCTCTAGTTAATACCGTGTTTCCCCAAAAATAAGACATCCTCCGAAAATAAGACCTACTTACAGGTTTCCTTCTGAGTGAAATATAAGGCATCCCCCGAAAATAAGGCCCCTAGGCTAAACTTGAGAGATTTGGTCCACTGATTCTGAAAGAAATGGAGTCATAAGAAATTCACCAGGAAATTCAGGAATTGGATTGTTATGATGATGTTTCAGAAGATGATGGCATGATTGTCATTGAATAAATGAGTAAATTCTTGAACTGTAGGATTCACAGTTTGTCTGGTTTGTGTTGACAACTGCTGTACTACCGTACCGTATACAGGTAATAAATTTCCTTTATTTTCATTTAACAATAAATGTGTATCGTATTCTTCTTCATGGAAAAATAAGACATCCCCTGAAAATAAGACCTAGCGCATCTTTGGGAGCAAAAATTAATATAAGACACTGTCTTATTTTTGGGGAAACAGGGTAGTAATGCCAAAGAACTAAGTCATTTTGTAATGAACAAAATTTTATATACACTAAACTTTTTGTCTCCTCAGTAAGGCAGTATTTATTTTTTCAGAACCTTTATTTTGGACTCTGGCTGATCTCTTTGAGAGTCTAGAAGTACATTAAGTGGCAGATTTTATGATAACAGCAGCCGGACATGGCATTATAGTATATCATATCCTTTTATCTCTGCAATCATCTGGAAGGAAGGTAATGGTTTTACTCATATTTTCACAAAGAAAAAGAGGGTCAGAGAGATTTAGTGAGTTGTCAAGGGGACACAGCAAAGCAAGTCTTGTAAGGGTGTCTGGTTGTCTGATACCAAAGCCAGAATGGTAAATGGGACATTGAAGAAAAATAAAAACTTTAAAGTAGTAGCAAGAAGTTATGTTACCTAATTAATTAGGTAAAATTATTTTAATACCTGAAGCTTATATGTCTTTGTAGTTCATACACTGCTTTTGATTCTCATCACAATCCTGTAAAATAGCATGCCAGGTATTTTGATTTTACAGGTCCCACAGGGAAGTGTAGGTTAAAAAAGAGAACATAGGTCTTTTTCCCCTCTCCCAGGGACCTAATTCCAAGCATATGATGAAACACAAGTCTAACAAGTGGTTCTCAGCACAGGCTGCACATTTAATCACTGGGGGAGCTTGGGACAACACTGGTGTCTGAGATACATCCTCAGGGTCATTTAATGGATCTGAGATGAGACTTAGTCTTTGTGGGTTTTGTGATTCTGTTATGTAGTCAGGGTTAAGAGACACCCCTGTGATAGAAAGTCTGATAGACTGAAAGTTAAGCAGCCTAAGAGTTCAGCCCTTGTTGGTGTGGCTCAGTTGGTTGAATGTCGTCTCCTGCACCAAGAGATTGCTGGTTCAGTTCCAGGATAGGGTACATGCCTGGGTTGCAGTTTCAATCCCCAGAAGGGTGCATGCAGGAGGCAGGTGATCCATGTGTCTGTCTGTCTCTCTCTCTCTCTCTCTCTCTCTCTCTCTCTCTCTCTTCCCCTCTCAAATCAATAAAACTTTTTTTTTTTTACATGTGTCAGTACTTTTAATGTGTACATAAAATTATAGTAAAAAGATGACTATAAACAAGATGTAGCCCCTTCATTTCCATAGTCAGCTCACTACATTACAGTATACCAAGTTTATATTCCACCATCAAGTGTGGTTCTCCCATTAGTTCACCTTGTGATGGGTCATTAAGAATATCTTCAAATCCAATAGTCTTGTTATTACCCCTCAAACTATCCACTTAAAGGTTTAAGATGAGAAGAAATGGAAGACGCTGAACCTGTTGCACTGCTTTGAATTCCATTTGCAATTTTAGTGGAGCAAATAGACCCTGGATGTTTTTCAGTGTGGGAAATTCATTTTATCTTTGTTGAGCTGGAAATTTTCTAATAATTCAAGAGGATGACTGGGCAAAAGTTCGTTTTTCATACAAGAAAAACCTTTTGAAGAAGATCATGACTTTCAAAAGGTCCATTTGGTGATCGCCCAGTAACTAGAATATTGTCCTTTAGCTGGGATTCAAGTCCTCTGATATTCATCTTTAGCTCACTCTGCAAACAACCTCCCAAGCCCTGTAGCGTCAGCCAGCCAATAAAATATATATTTTAAAAAAATAAATGTAATGGTTCAGACCAGTTGTGCAACTACTATAGTACTTTGGGCAAGATTGTTAAGTAGGAATAGAAATTCACATTCTACCTGCCTAAGAGTTATGGAACATATAAAGAGGGAATTTTTATAAAAGCACATTGAAAAAATTTTTAAATGGCAGGTCAACATAACTATAGTTATTATTGTTACTGGAAAACACCAAATATATGGCTATTGAGTCATTAGTTCTAATATCTAAAATAACTCATTGCTGTATGCATATAATAAAATAATATTGAAGTTTATTTCATTTCTATTTAGATTTCTTTCATGAATCTCAGAATATACAAATTTAAATCAAACCTAGTAATTAAAATAGCAATAAAATTTTATACATTTATGCATAACTAATATATTTACATAGGAGGTTACATAGGTTTCCATTAAATATTAAACAAGTTAATGAGCTGAGCCTATTCTCTGAAGTTGCATAGTTATTGTTAAATATATTAGTGTAATTTTATGTCATACAAATTTTTATTTAATACTTAGAGCAATTTTCTAATTCTTTTTTCTCAATACCATGTGTTTTCTTATAGGACTTATACAAATCAGCCTTCTTTTATTTTGAAGGAACGTTTTATAACGATAGAAGATACCCTGAATGCAGAGATCTGAGCAGGTAAAATTTGCAAAATTCTTCACAAAGTCTTGCCATGTTTTAGTTCTCAAAATGGTATTGTCTCCACAAATCCTTTAACTGGTCTGTTAAAGATATTTGCCAAGGAATTATTTTATTAGTTTTTGTTGATTTGAGACAAGAAATTGTCTTTCCATTTTTAAAATACGTGAAAAAGGTTGGTTTAGGTACTAATTAATCAACATTTTTATTCCAGGAAGAACATTTCCTACAAAAGCACACATATCCATTTCAGGATCTTGCTGGCTCTACAAAATTGTTTTTTAAACGTATTATCTGCTATTTTAGAAATTACACTAACTCAATTGAGCCTTAGATATATCTAAAAAAGAAACTAAATTCCACCCTATCTAGTTTGGGTAGAGCATTGGCCTGCGGACTGAAGGGTCCGAAGTTTGATTCCAGTCAAGGGCATGTACCTTGGTTGCGGGCACATCCCCAGTAGCAGGTATGCAGGAGACAGCTGATCAATGTTTCTCTCTCATCAATATTTCTAACTCTATCTCTCCCTTCCTCTCTGTAAAAAATCAATAAATACATTTTTTAAAAGAAACAGACTAAATTCCCTTAAACAATTTATTGTCTGTTCTTCATATTAGATGATAGCAGTAAATCTCTCACTGTTTTTCTGCTTGTTCAGTGTGCACAGTTGTTGGATCTATGTGATATATATGGTTGCTTAAATACAAAACATGAAGAAGTTGCATCTAATGATCATGTGAATTAGATCACACTTTAAAAAAATATATTTCTGCCGAAACCGGTTTGGCTCAGTGGTAGAGCGTCGGTCTGCGAACTGAAAGGTCCCAGGTTCGATTCTGGTCAAGGGCATGTACATTGGTTGCGGGCACATCCCCAGTAGGGGTTGTACAAGAGGCAGCTGGTCAATGTCTCTCTCTCATTGACGTTTCTAGCTCTCTATCGCGCTCTCCTCCTCTCTGTAAAAAATCAATAATATATATATTTTTAAAAATGTCAACTCTTAAAAAATAATAAAATAAATAAATATATATTTCTATTGATTTCAGAGTGGAAGGGAGAGGAAGAGAGAGAAACATCAATGATGAGAATCATTGATCAGCTGCCTCCTGCATGGCTCACACTGGAATCGAGCCTGCAACCTGGGCATGTGCTCTGACCAGGCATGTGACCTATTTATTCACAGGTCAACACTCAACCACTGAGCCACACTAGCTGGGCAGACTACAGTTTTATTATTATCAGTGTCCTGGGAAATAGAGTATATTTTTCTGAATGTTTATATAAATTCTCCTTTATTATAGCCATTTGTATTTATATTCTATTGTACCATTTCTCAATCTCGTTGGCCTTAGCACTTCTTTTTATTTATTATTTTTTAAAATATATTTTACTGACCTTCCACAGAGAGGAAGGGAGAGGGATAGAGAACTTTTTCAGAACAAAATAAAATGGTGAGAAGAATGACATTGTTGGAGGATCCAAGATGGCTGCTCGGGTAGACATCTAGCCGCGGCAGCACACAACAATTTCAATGGAATACAACTAAAATGTAGAGTGGACATTGCCCAGAGCTACAGGTAGTCGACTGACTGAAATTTCTACAACAAGAAGGAAAGAGAAAACCAGAAAGAAAATCAGAGGAGCTGAAAAAAAGCCTAAGGTACGGAGACATGTTGCGCGCGCCTGCCCGCCCGCACGCGCACACGGAGAGGTCGCAGCCGGAGAGGAGGAGAGGGCGGGGAGCCGCCTTTCCTTCCCTAGCAGGAAGGAAATAAAACCCCCAGCCTGGGCTGAACCCCCGAACCGGCAGCACTGAGCCCCCCCCCCCCCCCCCCCGAACCGGCAGCGTTGAGCCCCAGTTATGGGCCAGACCCTGGGGACCCAGGCTCCCGTGGGAGGAGACAGGGCCGTGAGGTGGAAAAACGGCAAAAAGCAGGGCCCCGGGAGTCGCGTGCAATGCGCGCAGAGGACTGAATGTTGACTCTGATGCTGGGTTACCCTAGCCGGAAGAAACAAGGCCTCCGGCAGCGCTGAGCCTCAGTCCGGACTGCTCCGAACCCCAGTTCTGGGCTAATCTCTGGGGACCCAGGCTCAGGCAGAGGGAGACGGGGCTGTGAGGTGGAGTCTGGGGAGAGCGGCGAAAGGCCGGGCCCCCGGGACTCGCGCAAACTGCGCGCAGAGGACAGTCTGTTGACTCTGATGCTGGACTTCTCTAGCAGGAAGGAGAAAAAAAAAAGCTCTAGGCTGGGGGAACGCAGAGGGGAGCGGAAGCCCCTGCCGGACTCCAGCCAACCGGGCACCAGCAAGGAGGTGGGCCACGGGGCCCCTGGGAGCGTGGGTGCCCCTGAGCCTTTGACCACTGAGCGCGAGCCACGGAGCCGAGGCCGGGGGCTGCTTCCTGGGCGGCGCCGTCCCGGCAACAGGCTGAAGCAGCGCAGGAGCCCGCGCAGAACAAAGGGGTGCCACAGGCCAACCTGCTGAGCTCCCAGGACAAGGAGGAAGAAACCAAAGAAGTTCTCAATGTGAAGAAATCAAGTGAGAGCAAAAAATAGTAAAATTACTTAAGAAAGAATACAAAGAAGATCTTGAAAAATCAAAGACTAAGTCAGAACTCAACTCACCAGCCAACATTGCAACATAAATGCGTTTTAAAAAGAAAAAAGAAAAAAAAAAAGGACAGAATGTTGGAACAGCGACGGCCAGGCCTAGAGTGGCCAGGCACAAGGCAGTGGCAGCCAGACCCGGAGCAGCAACGGCCAGGCCCCAGAACAACAGCAGCCAGAACCAGAGCATCAACAGCCAGCACTGGAGTAGCCAGACCTGGGGCAGTGGCAGCCAGGCATGAGGCGGAGGCGGCCAAGCCCAGGGTGGCCAGTCCAGAAACACCCAGACCCGGAGTGGCCGGGCCCGGAGAAGCCGGGCCCAGAGCAGCCGGGGTGGGAGCAGCCAGACCCAGAACAGCAGTAGCCAAGCCCAGAGCATCCAGGTCGGGAGTGGCCAGGCTCGGAGTGGCCGGGCCCGGGGCAGCCGGGCCCAGAGCAGCCGGGTCAGGTGCGGCCAGGCCCAGAGCAGCGGCTGACAGGCTGGGAGCGGCCAGGCCGGGGGAGCAGCCGGGTCGGGTGCGGCCAGGCCCGGAGCAACGGCTGCCAGGCTGGGAGCGGCCAGGCCCGGGGGAGCAGGCGGGTCGGGTGCGGCCAGGCCCGGAGCATCGGCTGCCAGGCTGGGAGCGGCCAGGCCCGGGGGAGCAGGCGGGGCTGGTGCGGCCAGGCCCGGAGCAGCGGCTGCCAGGCTGGGAGCGGCCAGGCCCGGGGGAGCAGGCGGGTCGGGTGCGGCCAGGCCCGGAGCATCGGCTGCCAGGCTGGGAGCGGCCAGGCCCGGGGGAGCAGCCGGGGCTGGTGCGGCCAGGCCCGGAGCAGCGGCTGCCAGGCTGGGAGCGGCCAGGCCCGGGGGAGCAGCCGGGGCTGGTGCGGCCAGGCCCGGAGCAGCGGCGGCCAGGCCCGGAGCAGCAGCAGCCAAGTCCAGAGCAACTAGGTCTGGAGCGGCAGTGACCAGACCCGGAGCAGCTGGTTGTGGAATGAACCAGAGCAACAGAGGCCAGGCCCTGAGCAGCCAGGTTCCGAACAGCTCGCTCCTTGCCTGCCCCTGCCCCACGGCTGCTTCTCAGACATGGCTGGAAACTTTCGTGGGAACTTGAGGGTCTGCTGAATCAAGTGATGAAGGCTTAGATCTGGATGTGTTGAGTTAGTATAGGGCTGGGGTGTTGATCTGTGAGTGCCTTGGGTGGGGCCTGGATGAGGCTGGTGGACCTATTGGGAAATGTCTTTTGTGTGAAGTGTATCATTGGGCATGTGGAGGTATTATTGATATGAGAAAATGCTAAGTAACTGATTTACTATCTGAAAAGGATTTACTATTGGGGAAATTGAGGGAAGAAGAGACTGATCATAAACTGCACCTATGGATGAGGACAATGGGGGATGGGGAGGGGGCAGAGGGTGGGGTGGGAACCTGGTGGAGGGGGGAAGAAATGAGGAACCTTTGTAATAATATGAACAATAAAGATTGATTAAAAAAAAAAAATGAAAAAATCTTAAAATGAAGTTAAACCACAATGTACAAAAAAACCATTCCTCTTGTATTTGTATATAGTAGTAGTGATTTGGAAAGTCCCCGGAGGAATAAATTCCATTGACATTTAAAAAAAAAAAAAAATGACATTGTTACATATTTTTCATTAAGTCTGAAGTTAAACCACTTCTTGTAGCCTCCAGAAAAATGTTTGTTTATGAGAGAATAAGAGTTGAAAGGGCAGCAAATAACATTTTAGGCTTATCGTAAAGATAATTTTGACCTCATGAACCCCTGTGGGGTCTCAGGAACCACACTTTGAGAAGTGCTGCTCTAACAGATGAAGAAAAATTCAAAATTCCTATTCCAGCATACACCAACACTGGTTTTCATTTAAAGATGGTAACTGTCCAGTTGATGGAGAGCCAAGTTTTGTGAAGTACTGCAGTCACAAACTGTTGTCAGTCATTTCTAGTTTTTTTGTGGAGCAATGATACATATCTTGCCTTTCCCCCATCTCAGAACTATCATTGAGTGGTCAGAGTCCCACGACAGAGGCTATGGAAAGTTTCAGACTGCTAAAATGGAAGACTTCACCTTCAATGACTTAAAGATTAAAATGGGTTTTCCCTATTTATACTGCCACCAGGGAGACTGTGAACATGTAGTTGTCATTACTGACATAAGGTAAGTGGCATTACTCAGAACGTTTTATTTCTTGTTTTCCTTTTCTGTGTTTTGCAGTATAAAAGCACAGTTGTATTTTTAATAAGAGGAATAAAAGTAAGTATTGGTCCAGCTTGGCTTGGCAACAGCAAAAATAAGTGCTTTCCATTCAGTGACCAATTTTGCAATCTCTATTGTTCATTTTTGGGGAAATATATATAATGAGAAATGCTTTACTGTTTATTAGAGGATTAAATTTTTTTATTTTTATTTATTTATATTTTATTGATTTTTCACAGAGAGGGAGAGAGAGGGATAGAGAGTCAGAAACATCGATGAGAGAGAATCATCAATCAGCTGCCTCTTGTACACCCCCTACTGGGGATGTGCCCGCAACCAAGTAGAGGGTTAAATTTTTGTGAGTACTTTTTAAAGTGTCTCCCTTTGTGTACTAGACAGCTGTTACTCAGGTAGTAATCATCCAAATTGCATAGCATACAGGCCCTTTGCAAATTTGCAGCCATATTTCTCGGTTTCTTGTCTTTTTGCCAAAATTTGTAGGAGTTAAAGGGGAACTGGAGAAAGGGAAGAATAATTCTGATATTTGACCAATATGAAGTCTCAATGCTTTCATAAAGATTTTAAGTGGGGAGAACTAAAATAGTTTTAAGATTATAAATTTTATATAGCTTTTCTTTTATTTATTTAGGACATCTCAATTTATGAGGACAATATATATGAAGGAGTCCTGCTCTGTCCCCAGTGGGATTCCCTCTGTGAGGCCGTTTTAAGATTTCATGAGGAGCAGTGATGTGCCCATGTTTCTGTTATACCAGTGATAGGAACTGATGCATTAGAAAGTCCTAACTTTTCTTTGGGATCTTTGTTAACAGGCTCCAAACCTCAACCTCCCATTCACTCTTTACACAAAAACTTCAGACTTGGAAAAGAAAAGCATGGGACGCAAAATAGAATAGATAAGACATAAAAGGAACTCTTCAAATGATGGGAAAGGGAACCCCAGAATGATAGCTGGCTGGCAGAGCGGGAGAATAGCTCCCTTCAGAGACTGGAGCAGGATGGAGGGCTTGGAAAGTGTGTCCAGAGCTGCTAGACCTCCAGTTGGTGTGTACCATATGGAGAATATGTTTACTGCTCTGTCAGAAAGTAGGGAACTGGATTAGTGACAGAACAGTGAAAGCTCAGCACATGAAAACATGAGAGAATTAGTACCTACAAAACGAAGTGTTACACAGTAAAAGGAACCTATAGTCTGTTATGTAGCTTAGATGGTAGTATTAATGCATAATTTAAACATTAAGCATTTATTTAACCCAAATTAGAGTAGTTCTGTAGAAACATTTTAAGGAGCTAAATTAAAGAGAAACAATTGTCCCTTGGGTAGAACTTTTGAAGAGCCAGGAGAGCGCATAAACTATAGATTTGTATGAATTTCAAAGTTATATACACTTATTTCTTGAATAACGTGTTCTTTAAATTTTATTCTGGCTGCTCTTACGTTCCTTACATTTCTTATTGTGTAGGCATATTGCTGCACAGTGTCATTCTTTAAATTGAGGGCAATTTGGAGCGTGATTTAGACTATCATTTTCATCTTATAGGTGGATTTAATCATATGCCATTCCATAGTTTATTAATTAGTACACTGTTTCAAAAAAGTTTATTAGTCAACTTCTGATGGTGAAGTTGATATATTGCTAATTTCCTACTTAAAAAATAGCCCTAACCGGTTTGGCTCAGTGGATGGAGCATCAGCTTGTGGACTGAAGGGTCCTAGGTTTGATTCCAGTCAAGGGCATGTACCTTGGTTGTGGGCACATCCCCAGTGGGGTGTGTGCAGGAGGCAGCTGATCAATATTTCTCTCACTGATGTTTCTAACTCTCTATCCCTCTCCCTCTCTGTAAAAATCAATAAAATTAAAAAACATAGTAATAACAAAATTTAGAATGTCAGACTAGGAACCATTAGAATACTTCTTGAGCAGCCCGTTCTTTTTCCAGATGAAGAATCAGGTCCAGCATGGTTAAGGGATTTACCCAAACCCACTCAGTTGATGAGTAGCATAGAGATTAATTTTCACTCATAATATCTTAAAGCCCTGCCGCTTCATATTAACCAGGAATCAGATTTAGATTTTAATAGAGGCTTTAGTAATCAAGAGCCCTGGTGTGACACATAACCAGTTAATCTAGGTAAATAGCTAGATAAAATACTTAGATAAATTAGTTGCTCAAACTATATAATAAAAGCCTACTGTGCAAATCAGCCAAACAGTGGAATGACCGGTCATTGTGATGCACACTGACCACCAGGGGGCAGATGCTCAACACAGGAGCTGCCCCCAGAGGGAGGTTATTGGCTGCATCCCCCAATTGCCCCACAGATTGGCCCTGATCGCCGGCCAGGCCTAGGGCCCCTACCTGTGCAGATTTCATGCACCTGGCCTCTAGTGTTTTATAAAAAGGTACTAAGTTCTAAGTAAAGCAAGGATTCTGTGATGGAATACATGCAAGAAATGCTGCATATAGCATCTCAGAAAGTCACCGTGCATGTTACAATGAAGGGATTTGGAAAGTTCCATAGAAAGCATTGTTTGATCCAAAATGCTCTTTTGGAGAAAGTGTTTCACGGAACACATTTTGGTCAAACCTGGTGTGCAAGTCAACGTATATTTTTAAAAACTTTGATGACCAAAATTTGAGAAAAAAAAATACCTACTATGTTATATGTTTGATTCTTTACAAATCACAGAAATTTGTATAATGTAATAGCTTCATTTATTTTTCTCATTTACAAAAGGCTTGTGCATCGAGATGACTGCTTGGATAGGACACTTTATCCCCTTCTTATCAAGAAGCACTGGCTATGGACCAGAAAATGTTTTGTTTGTAAAATGTTCACAGCCAGGTAAGTGGTTATCTTTTTTTTCTTTTTCAGCAATATTTAAGTATTTTTTTACTTTGGTATTTCAATTTTTTTCTGAGTTGAATCTGAAGGCTTATACTTTGGAGTGTAATAATATAAAGCGTTTTCCTATTTAGTAGGGAAGTGCTGCAGAACAGATTAGATTACAACTGCATTTTAAAACATCTACAGTATTAGTCCAGGGGTAGGTCAAAAGTTTAGTTGACAATGCTCAGTGTCATCAGGGAACCATGTTCCTTTCACCTGCAATTTACAAAATCAGTCTCATTTGTCGTTTCTCCACAGTGAAAGAGCACAGCCCAGTAGGTTTGGCTCAGTGGTTGAGCATCTACCCATGTACCAAGAGGTCACAGGTTTGATTCCTGGTCAGGGCACATGCCCGGGTTGTGGGCTCAATCCTCAGTAAGGGGCATGCAGGAAGTAGCCAATTGATATTTCCCCCTCTCCTTTCCTCTCTATAAAAAGAAAAAAATTAATAAAAACGTTATTTTATTTTTTTTAGAAAAAGAAACTAACACAGCATCTCACATATGAGGTCAAAATATGGTTTTATAGCCCTAGCTGGTTTGCTCAGTGGATGCAGCGTTAGCCTGCAAACTAAAGGGTCCTGGTCAAGGGCAAATGCCCTTGTTGCCAGTTCAATCCCCAGTAGGGAGCATGCAGGATGTAGCCGATTAATGATTCTCTCTCAACATTGATGTTTCTCCCCCTCTCCCTTCCTTTTTGAAATCAATAAAAATATATTTAAAATATATATACTATGTGTACCGGTTAATAATAGCAGATTTTGTAATCAAAGAAAACATGGTAATTTCAAGAAAAACATCAAAAGTGCTTTATTCTAGTAATGCCCACCATCGCTAGCTACACATTTCCCCATCTCAAGTAATTTGCGCATACCGTCCCAATAGAACTTTTGTTTTGAGGCAGACCATTCAGAGACCCAATTTTCTACTTCTTCCTATGTTTTGAAGTGCTGCTCAGAAAGTTCATGTGCCATCGATCAAAACAAGTGGTAATCTGAAGGAACAAGGTCTAGTGAATATGGCGGGTGGGTTAATACTTCCCAGGCAAGATCTCTTAACGTGTCTTTAACTGGTTTTGAAGTGTGTGATGGCGCCGTTATCATGAAGCAAAATTACTTTGCTGTGTTTTCTGGCACATTCTGGTGGTTTCACAATCAAATCATAGTTCAAATAGATTATTTGTTGTCAGGTAGCCATCAGTATTAACGGTTTCACCTGGTTTCAGAAGCTCATCATATAGCACACCTTCCTGATCCCACCAAACACAGAGCATTGCCTTTTTTCTGAAGTTTGGCCTTGCAGTCCATGTTGATGGTTGACTTGGATCAACCCATGATTTTGTGCTTTTGGGATTCTCAAAATAAATCCTTTTCATCACCAGTCACAATTCAATGCAAAAAAGACTCTCTTGTGCTGTTGAAGCAATATTTTACTGACTTTTTGGTTTCCCATTTGTCTTTTGTTCAGTTGATGTGGCACCCATTTTCCTTCCTTTAAAATCTTTCCCATTGCTTGTAAACGATTGGAAATTGTTTGCTGAGCAACATTTAATCTTTGTTTTGGGTTCCTCACCACAACGTGCTTTTCCAAGTGATAAATAGGAAAGCATAAATCAGTTATTAAATCAAAATGGGAATCCAGGGATGTTAAAACATTCCATGAGAGAACAGAATTCAGATAAATTGAAAAAGCATTTTCTTGTGACTAGTAACATCTCAGTCAAGATATTTCAGTTGAATAAAGGTGCACATATCTCATACATATATGTGATGAAACAGCTGAAGTTTTTAAATTAACCAATATTAATTTACTAGTTAGATAAATTAAGCAAAAGTTTACCAGATCTATAGCATCTAACTTGTTTTTCAAGATGGCCTAGTAGAAGGAAAGGATTATGTTCATGTTGACAGTTTACTGGATGGGCATGCCATAATTAAGTGTATGATGCTTTCAGTTATGGATTTGTACTCTTCTCTACTTACCTTCAAGTAGTCCTTTCAGAGAAACCTGCAGTTTCTCCGTTAGTTGCCCTTTTGCCTTGTAGAGTATTGCTAATGAAATGTCTGTATAAACCGTATTTTCGGGCGTATAAGACGACCCCCATTTTTACAGTTAAAACCTAGGTTTAGGCCTATATTTGCTGTATTAGACTACCCCCTACTTCAAAGACTTACTTTTCCTTCAAGATCTGCAGGTAATTTTTGTGCAATTTTGGTCTTTTGCCCCCGATTTTCGGTTGACCTTTTTTCCGTTTCAAAGGTCGTCTTATACGCCGGAAAATACGGGTATGTATTATAAAGTATTATAATTATGAATAATACAGAATGAGGAGTTAATTGTGGGAATGTTCTATTTACATATATTACAAGTCATAATTCACAGCAAGAGAAAGTTGATTATCTTTTTTTTTTTTTTTAAACTACAGATGGGTGACCAACAATGACAGTTTTGCACCAGATGATCCATGTTTCTTTTGTGATGCTTGCTTCCGAATGCTTCACTATGACTCAGAAGGCAACAAACTGGGAGAATTCCTTGCTTATCCTTATGTTGATCCTGGAACGTTTAATTAATAACCAATAAAAAGTGTACACTGTAGGAGTATGACCAACCTGAAATAATCAGCTAAAGTTAACCTCACTCTACCCCCAAAATTTGAAATTACAGATTTTCTTATAATTTGATTTAAATGATTAAAAATATATTTTACTATTATACAATATAGTTCTTATTCAGTTCAGTGCATTTTGCCCATCTTAAGTGTATTTATCTTACAGAAGGAGTGCTTTATATATTAAATATAAATCCTTTGCCATGTATATGTATTCTGATTTTCTCCCAGTCTATGGCTTGCCTATTCATTGTATCCTAAATACTTTTCTGCTAATCATTAGCAAAATTCAATTAGTGTTACATCAAGTGTTGGAAGTACTTTGAAAATTATTTGAAGAACGTGAACACCATATATCATGAGGCTTCCAAGGTAGATTTTTCAAATATCTAATAATCTCAGATGGCTCTTATTTGGTAGGAACTATGGACAATAAACATTTTATTTTAAAGTATATTTATTGATTTCGGTGAGGAGATAGAAACACCAATGATGAGAATCATTGAGCAGCTGCCTCCTACACACCTCACATTGCAACCCTGGCATATGCCCTGACCAAGAATCCAACCATGACCTGATCCGTAGATTGACACTCAACCCACTGAGCCATGCTTGCTATGCAATATAGTAAAAACTTTAACAGTAGACTCATTACATGAATAATGAACATAAGATCTTGAATATATATGCTCATAGCTTTACATAAGTACCATTTAAATTGAAGCTTCATTTCTTGACTTTGTGAATCACATGGTATGAGTTTAAAGTGTTGATTTAATATTTTTATGATTCAAAAATTTCATGTACTATGACTTGTGGGATATGGAAAATCAAGATCCTATGAATTGCTAGCTGTGGCTCACTTATTCTTGGGCAATAACACTCAGTATCCTGTATAGAAAAACACTGGCATTTTTTTTCTGCTCAGCTCTTCATTCTTTTGGCTCCCTATAATTCTATTTATTCTCTTCTCTCATTCTGGGCCAAAGAGCAACTATGAAAATTCCAAGGTTTAGAGCAGTGTTTCCCAAACTTTTGACATATGTGTACCCCTTCTATAATTTTCCTAACGCTGAGTACCCCTCGTACTCATGAGAACGTAGAATTAGGCACAGCTAAGCACTGAGCAGTGCATATCCCCACCTAGGGGTACGCGTACCATACTTTGGGTAACACTGGTTTAGATCATCAGGAAAAATTCTAACTCCTATTTTGAAATTCTTCTGGAAACCTGTGTTGTTTTTTGGTAGGAAATTAAAATGTTTAAAACTTCACTTTCCCTTTAAGTTATATTTATAAATTCAACTAAATTCCACACTCCCTGGATGGGTAAGAACAGACATTTATCACAGAAATAAAATACTGATGAAGCCTCTAAGCCTATATGTTTTAAAGGTTCGCAGTAAAATGTTTTATGGACTTAAATGCAACATATCCAGTTAAGTCTATTGGTGTCAAGACCAAAGCATCTGTTTCTAGTATGTCTAGCGGGGTTCTTACTGATTTCAGTCAGTACACCAGAGAATCAATATAAATAAGTGAGCAGTTTGTCCAAATAAGCTATTACCTAAATTTTTACTTTTCCTGTTTCCAACAATGCTAAATTGTACTCATTTAAAATTCTGCTGGAAAACCAGATTTAACCAATTCCTCAAAGTTCCACAGGTAAAAATGAATTTATTGTTAAACTTCATTCCTTATAGGTTTTACAATAGTATGTATTTTTTAAACTCATTTTCACCACTTCATATTCTCAAAACCAAAATTCCAGAAATTATCAGAAGCATTGATAATTTCTGGTACCAGTTTATTTTAGTGGATAAAGAAGACTATTAGTTAAAATAATACTATTACTGAAATTCTTGTTTTATCACTTAGAATATTATCCTGCTTCTTAAGGTTAATTTTTTTCACCAATGTTACAAAGGCTTATATATCTGCTCTCATTTCCTGGTAAAATCTAAATGGCTAATCCAACGAGGTTACTCCCAGAATTTATCAATGTATTATATATCAGTTAAACAGATCTCCCAACTTTCACATTGGCATAAAACATACTTTCTGTCAGAGATTTTATAGCTACAAATTTCAGTGTTAAATACAACATGACTAAAGTTACCTATTTTATCTAATGAAGAAAACAAATGTGAAAATGTTGTGAACTTGAATTAACACCTCTGTATTTAGAAATGAATTAGATTTTGATGTAATAATGGATATAGTCATCACAAAATCACTGTCTATAAAAGCAATGCCTATTTCCTTAAACATCTTTTTCAGTACCCTTTAAGGATAATTTGACATTTATTCCAATCACATCACAATGCCTTATCCTCTCTTAAGTTTATACGCAGCACAAATCTGAACACATTTCTGCCTATACTTGTAGGTTCTTTTCTTAAGGTGTAATTATGGATTTGCTATTTCCAATAGATCGCCCTTTCTCTGGCCAGTCCAGTGGGACAAAGTTGTTACTGAAGCCTTCAGAGCCCTGTAGAAGCTTTTGCTTGTCTACAGGCCACCTCATCTTGACTTGGCATCTTCAACCAGGTAAGTGTGTGAGTACACTATGGTCCATTTTATTACCCTGCTCCTTAAAACCACATGACATAACAGCATTTATAAGAAGGAATGCATTCCAGTCAAGCTGTTTACATAGATAAAGTCCGATTCAGGTTCTCTGATTCAGATGGTACTTCTGAAAGTTTTCCAAATCATGTGAGAAAATCAACAATTGATTCTTCTGAGGCAAGCCTAATTTACTCTGTGAAAATGCTTTATAAAAACATACCAAAAATATGGGGTGGGGGTTAAGGGAGCAGTCCTAGCTCTCATTTAAGTTGTCTTTTAAGTGACTTATCCAGTTGTGGAATTTTGATCAAATACACAATGTAAATTAAGCAAATGTTCCTGAAAGTTCTTGGTAATTACATATATGGCTTTTTCTTAAGAGTTCTGAGATTTTGTGAATCGTTGACAGAAATTTCTTTAAATGAGGATTAAGACTGTTAGAGTGTTGTAAGAACATACTCTTGGTAAGCTATGAAGACCTGCTGGGTCACAGAATAAAAAGGGAGGGTGAACCAAAAATAACATTACCTTTATTTTTGACATTTTGAGCTTATTAGTTTCCCTGTTTCTCCAAACAACACGATATCTGTGATGACACAAAGAAATTACTCCCTTGGAAGCAAATCCAGAATTCCAACACATTTTTATACATAGCATAGAAGTAATTTACTAGAACAGTTTGTTAAAAAAAAAATTCTTTAATCAAAAGAAGTTTACATGTTAACACTTATGGCTTTACTAGAATAATCTGTCAAATCTTAATTGTGCTAAGGATCAAACAAATATACGTAATAGCAAAAATTCCCTCAAAACACACCGAATCCTTGCTTCCATTTTAAGACCTCTCAAAATTAAAATTCCAACTACTGAAATAATTTAACTTTTCATCAATTGATGAAAACAAAATTATCTGAGCAGTCAAAACATACAATGTATGCCACATGCAAACACTTAAGCATTAAAAGCCTTTTCTCCATATTCATAGTTTTAAAACAAGTGTTTTAACTACTAAAAACCAACTGACCTCATCAAATGATCTTAGAAATACTATCTGTTAAAAGTTAGCCTTAAGTCTTTTGGGTTACTTGGTTCACCCTGATTTGTTCCATGTAAGTGAATGTTCAGACTATAATAAAAGCCTAACATCACTCCTTTGCTGCCTCAAAGCAATGAATATTTCCAATTTTTGCAATCCTGGCACACATGTATGATCTAGAAATAAAATTCTTTTTGATGTGGCCATTTTCAAATAGGTAATTTTCCTTATATATCATTTACTGTATAAGCATCATGGATTGTTTTCCAATTAAAAAAATACTCAGTAACTTTAATGGGTGACTTTTAAAAAAAATTTCAGAAATGTTTCAAAAATAAACTTATTTAGTTTTCAGTTTCAGCTATACAGTTCATGTAAAGGATCTTATTAGATGGCTGAACCCTAGAGTCAGATTCATTCTTATATACAGCCATTTTGCTTTGTCAGGAAAGTCATGTGACTGCAAAATTCCCAGCCACAATATTAAATTACTTTATAAAGTTAACATGATTTTTGTACCTTGTGGAATTGTTAGTTCAATGTCAGTTGATAATGTAGTTTTCTTACAAAAGGCATACAGACCACACATTGTTACAAAGCAGCAGATAATATAGCACAATGTAGACTGAGATCAATTTTAGTTAGCAGGGAGTAATTATATAGAACTAACATTTTATCTACCATAAAAATGTGTAACCTACAAAAACCACAAACAGTGAAAAGACAGTCTGGTAAATCCAAGTTTGTAAAAACTATGCACAAAACCCACAGTATTGGGGAAAAGAGGAAATTTTATACAAGAAGTTTTAAAAATGTAATTTTTTTCTACTATCAATTTCACATTAACATACATACACTAATTGAAAATATGCTACAACCAATGTCTTAAAAAGCAGCTCAAAATTTCCTAAATGACTTTCCCCTCACATTTACTGTATAATGGAGCTGTTAATACTGCACAAGTACAATTAAGCAATGTTTACTTTTAAACAAAGATTAATGAATTTCCTCCCTAAAACAAGTTTTAAACATCAAAACCTATGTTTATAAAAATGTAAAACTTTCAGCAGTCTAAATACTTCTAATGAAAACCATTACAAACTTCTCAAATGTTCTTTATATTCCAGGTATGTCAACCTAGTTATCTAGCGCAGAATCCTTCAGAGATATTTCAGTCTCTCTCTCTTCACTGGATGGCCTAAAGAAAAGTAGGGGGAAAAAGGTGTGACAACTGGGATTAGGGGATTTTTTTTAAAATCACCAAAGATTTAGAGTTACTATTTTTGGTTGAAACTTTTACCATGTTCTATCTTCCCAATAATATGCAGATCAAGCACTATATCTCAGGGAAGCATCAGGCCCTTTCCATCATTTCCTATTTTAAAATGGATTTTCTTTAGAGAACATGAAAATGCTATATGCCTGTGATACCAACATATACCATCTTTATTGAAAAGATGTGATGTTACACAGGATTTCCCTGAATTTCAGAATTAGAAGGGATGCTTGATTCCTTGTCTTAATATACAGTGAAACAAACCATGAACATGGTAATTATGGCTCCATATCTAGAGTGGGTATCATAATACAAAATATCCTGAGATTCTAGATCTATTTTTTTTCTCTTGTCACAATTCAAGAAAGTATGAACCTAAGTCAATTATTAAAGGTGTATTTAGTTAACTTAGTCCAAGAAAGAATAGTTATTTTTTTAAAAACTGGATTCCTGCCTAGCTATTCCTTTGAATACAGTGGCAATTTAGTGGGAAATAAATTTTTATGATTTTTGCCTTTTTGATTTGCATCTTATTTACCGAATACAGGAACTGATAAAAATATAATCCCTTCTATAAACAACTTTGGAACAATGATGTGATATAAAAAGCAAACATATTACAACCCATTAAAACATGTCCTCACTTTTTCTTACTGCTGGTCTCATCTTTGCTTTCTTCATTGCTATCTCCATTGTGTTGTGGTTGATTACTGTCTTGAGCATCAGATCCTCCATTTAGAGTCTTTGAACCTTTAGGAGGAGTCCAATGGGAAAAAAAACTATTAGAGCATCTAGTACTTTAGATATCCTCTGAAGATCAAAGTCAAAAATAAAACATGGCCCTAAAACTTCTTACACTTAACATGTTTTATTTGTAATCCTTGGGTAGACCTGAGGCACACAGTAAGAAGCAGGGCTGCTGCACATAGTCACAGGAACAGGAGGTATTATCATTAGTTTGATTATTCCATTTGTCACTGTTATCAACAAGAGGGTAGTGCAGCTCTTTGGAGCATTAAGATTCATTGTATTTTCAGAGAAAAAAAAAATACACAAAATCTCATACATTAATGATATTTTAGAATAAAAAGTGCCAAAAATATTACTTCCTAACATGATTTTATGCCCTATTACTAAGTAAACAGTACGGGTTTCCATGTAAACTTAACCTATATAGATTCCCTAATAAATGAGCACAAAAATCCAACTTCTGAATTTTGTTTTCTACATTAAGCAGCTGCTGCTATGAATTTCAATAACATGGAATTTCAGGTACTGATTATTCTTAAAGAGTCTATCCCGATTACATCCTAAAATATTTATGGTTCAAATGACATTATCCAGAATTTGCTTTGAAATAATCTTCAGGGATGTCACAGAAAAACTTGATGGTGCTATACGATAGAATGATCACTTATTGTTGTATTAAGTGCTCAAGTTGGTGACAGAGGGATAAAGAAAGTTTATTTCTCTTTACTTTTGTGTAGGTAAGAAATTTTTCCTAATTTCAATTAAGAGAATAACTACTACTAATAGTGTTGATCTTTGAACAATATGGGTTTGAACTGTAGTATTTCATCGAATACTGTAAATATATTTTCTCTGTTTTTCATAACAATTTCTTTTCTCAAGCTTACTTTAAGAATATAGTCTATAATACATATAACAAATTATGTATTAGTTGACTGTTACCATTGAGGCTTCCAGTCAACAGTAGACTATTAGTAGTTAAGTTTTGGGGAGAGCCAAAAGTTCTATGGATTTTTTACTGCAAAGGAGTTGGCACCCCTCACGCCCACATTGTCCAAGAGTCAACTCTAATAGTAAACACCAGTATTTACTATTAATTTAACTTAACCTTGAAAAAGAAAAAACAAAAGCTAAGGTTAAGTATATTCCTAATTTCTGCTATATACAGAAGAGACCTTTTTGTAATTTAATGTAGATAAGGTATTAATGACATATATCAAATTCATTTTCTTAAAAGCAGTCCCAACAAAGAATTTACCACATACATACCTGTTTGTTCCTTTTCTAGCTTTTTGTTTGGCCCTTTCTTTCCTTGATCTTTGGTTTTATTAGCTTCCTCATGCTGTCTTTGTTCGGCAAGAGATTTATTCAGCACCTGTGTGATCACTGAATCTCCTTCACCAACCAAAAACATGTTCTTAAACTTGTTATACAACATGGTAGATTTTTCCATGATAATCTGACTCACTTTGAATCGTCGTATCTGAGAAAACAAAGAACATTCATAATTATTTTCCTAATTGATTTTTAAATGCTACTTTTTAGTGAAATGGTTTTGAGGAAATTTAAAAATCGGCATGACTTAAGATCACTTACTTTTTTCAGTGTTGTAATCATCTCTGTGTGTTTCTGAGCTTGTTGCATTGTGACCTGAAGTGAAGCTAGTTCATCCAAGGCCTCAATACATCTGTCCACATCCTTTATAAAATAGCAATTTTATAACTGTTAATTACCACAACCTTTATGATCTACTTTTAAATATTACTTTTAAATTTTCAAATAATAAGGCAGTATAAAGTAACCAGTGATAGTCCCTTTTACTTTAAATTTATCCATATTTATAAAACTAAGAAAATATGAAGCTATAAAAGCAGTACTGTATTTTTAAATGAGGTAAACACTTACAAGATTATCAATTTTGAGTGAATTTTTTATTTCAGCATGTATCCTTTGAAGTCGAGAATCCATTGATGTTTCTATAAATTAAAATGTAAAACAGTAAACAGTTTTTCCAAAACCAGTATTTCTGTATAACAAGCAAAGTATAATGGAAAGATTTGGTGAATTTTTAAAAATGTTTTTAAACCTTCCCGCATCACTAAGAAGTTATCTGCCGTTCTTGGTATTTGGTTTAGGAAAGCAATATTCATTATATAAGGGAAAACTCACCATCTAGTTTCATATTTGTAAAATAAGCAGTCTGTACCCAATAGACTCTTAATTTTTAAACATCTGCTTCACCTTACACGTTTAAGGAAAAACAATTTCTATCTGAAATCAGATTTATCAAAAAAAGGTGGGAAAATATCTAGCTTTTGGCAATGTTGCAAAAATGTGACTTAATCATATGAGCATGAAAATAAATGACTCCTTAGCAAGTTCACTTGATTACATACTTATAATACAGGCAATGTATATAGAATTCATTAGGAACTTAAAATTTATTTGTAGGATTTAAGAACATGAAATGACATATTTTAAAACCTACACATAAGAAAATTTTGATTTCCTTTCTATATATAATTTAAATCATCTTAGAAAGTGAAATAACTAACCTCGCTTCTTCTCCACTTTCTTAACTTCTGGCTTCTTTCCTTCATCTTTATTCTGCCTATCAAATGTTAACACAAATATTTGAAAACATTGGAACTTTGTGACTATCAAATGTTCACAATCCCTTATGTAAAGTTAAAATCTTTTTCTTTAAAATAGTAAGTCAACAGCCTAGATCATAAGTAACTAATTTTTAGAACTCTGCAATGCCATAGCATTAATTGCTATAAATATAAGCAGAACTTGTAAAAAAAAAAAAAAATGCTGTAAATAATCTAACAATCTAATGTTTCATTGGCATCGCAAATAAAGTTTCAATAGTCGCCATGGTGAATTTTTTCCCAACAGTAAATTGTGTATTGTTGCAAGACCAGTTTCAGGGCCAACTGACAGTGAGAAGAGAATGCTTATAATTGTTTCATAAATTCTACATCACACTTACTTTAAAAAGTAACATATTATAAAAGACTGGTTTAATTGTTCCCATATCTCCGAGGGTTAATTTCAAGGTTTTGAAGTTCATTTCCACATTAAATAGGCTGTTTAAAAGATAATACTGTTTTATAAAAATGTTTTTGCCAATGTCAAGCTTAGATGATATTCACTAACATTTATATACCATTTCACAAATGAAAAGGTACTATGCTATTATAAATAACCATTTAAAATGAATTATTAATTTCTAGTACCTTGGCTTGGAGTTTGAGCCTTATAAACATTCGAATAGACAAGAACAAAAAATATCTAAAAATCAGGGTGTTTTTTAAAAAAAAACTTTATTTTAAAATTTTGGTTACAGTTTCATTTTTGTTCTTAACAAGGCTATGTTTAATCTCTCGATTAAAAAAACAATTAAGATTCTAAAGAATTAAACAACAAAGGAATGTCAAGGGAAGGGCACAACTGCCCCAGTATCTGGGGTATGATAACTATTCCAGTTTAACACCTAACTTCGAAACAAAATTAAAGTTTATATTTTCTAAATGAAATAATGTACAACCACCATGTTTCCAGCTTATTCTAATTTTCACACACAAAGCTTCATTTTAAGCTTGGAAAAAACTTTTTGCCAACCTTATTATGTAGTGTGTACCTTACAGAAAATTTAACAATCATAACACAGTATTAATGCCATTAATGAAGTCCTCAATTTAGTATCTGGAACATTCTTCCATCAAAGGGGGGGAAGGGGAAATTCAGTCCAATGAGTCTGTCTCAAGATCTTCATCTGTTTGCTCCACTTGTATTTTCTTTTCAGTAACTGGATTAATGCTTTGAGCCCAAAATGAGATATATGTTTTATTACTGTAGATTACATGTTGTTTGGCTGGGAATACAATACAATAAACTTTATTTTGCATAATGCATTTCACACAAGCTGCATCTGAAATGCTTTACAGAGCAAAACTGTCCAAGTACAAAGTTTTGTAATAACAGGAGAAGGAAAGAAAACACAAATATTAGAATTTAAGAAAGTTACATTCGGAGGACATTAAAAAAGAAACTGAAACACAAAGATAATGTATTATTAAGGAAGGACTGGGCTAGATTTTTTACTAACCAATGGCTAATTTTATATCTTAATTTGGAGAGCACAATAAAGTTAAAACAAACAATGCAACAACTTTTCAGTGAAAGGATTGAAAAGGACAGGAAGAAAAAATAACTACTAATCACAGAAATGGTCAAAGTCTAGTCTAACAGAAAAAAGGGAGTACCATTTCTGAGCTTTAGATCAGTTTTTATTACTCCCTCAAGCAGCTGAAACCGCTTATATATCCTCCAAACTAAGAGAGCAGATGGTCAAATGTTACACTTGTAAAGAAAGGCTTTTGGCTTACAAATATATGAAGAAAAAGCACAATTTAAGGGTACTCTAAAGAATTAATGCTTATCATTAAGTCTCTTGGTGACCTGGAGCATGTTTTTAAAATCACTTCACTAAAAAAAGTTTAGTCAGAATAATGCCAGCGAAATATTTTTTTCAGAGAAAGAACTCAGAAGTGACAGTCTAAAGGTAATTAGGAAAACAAATGTAACACATGAGGCCTAATTATCATTGCCATTTTCCTTCCAATCAAATCATTTTGTAGAATAAAATTAAAGGGGAAAATTTCCTATGTTAAGTATATAGTATCTTCAAGTATGGGAACTTTAAGAGAAATCAGGTTTGAACTAGATTTATATTATACACATCTAATGCAAACCCTGACCGCCTTTAGATTTACTGGCTTTTGGGTTTCCAGCTGTGCTTTTGTTATTCTTGCTGGTCTTTTGAGGAGGGCCTGCTGGTGGTATGACAATAAGGATATTTCATTCCATTCTTTCTGTATTTAACATTATACAAATAAATAGTAGAGGATGTAGACACTTTCTACAGAGCCACTAACAGTAAAATCTTATCTGCACTTTGAGTTTAGATTAAAAAATACAAAGGGTGATTACCCTCAGTAAATTTCACCCTCTTAGAAAAGAAGAGATCCTAAAACAGAATTATTATCACTAATATTAGGACTATGTAATAGGAAAAAAAATCACTTTAAAAGGCTTCTTAAGGTCTGGAAAAAGATGTCATTGTTTAAAAATGTCATGCTAGCTTTAGAAAGAAGTCAAAATTTAGAACAAGAAAATACTTACTGCTCAGTTTCCATTTGTTCCTCTTGCTTGCGTTTTCTATCTGCTGCTTCTTTTTCATGTTGGCCTTTCAGCATATTTCTCCTATGAGCAGTCTGAAAGTTCCTTCCACCTTTTCTCTTCTGTTTTGAGAATTAGAATGGATTTAGCTCATCTCAGAATTATATATGTTTTTGCTAACTTTAACTCTTCCTTTATGATTCTGGGAACTAAAATCTATTTTCTGCACTGCTATAGAATTGATGACCTTAGCTTAAAATGAAGTATGTCAGTATCTTACTGTTTTAGTGACAACTACACTGCTCAATCTATCCAATTTGAAATTTTTGGCTTCTAAAGTGTCAAGTAATCATATAAAAATAAAAGATCTATATAACCTGGGTCTACATATCTCCAAGGCTATACAAAGAAAAAGACGAATAGCTTAAACAAAATTCCTAAGCAACTTGGTAACCAAATAAAGTAACACTGATAAAATGTAGAGCGTATGCCTAAAGAGTAGTAAGAATTTCAGTGAAATCTATGATCCTGTTAAACAATGTCATCCCCTAAATTTAATTTTTAACAAGTTTATAATACTTAGTATCATATAATTTTGAAAAGGTAAGATAAATTTAGAATGCACAATAAATTAAAGTTTAAAATATACTTTTAAACATAGCTAACTCAAGTTTATTCAGAAAGGTAAAGAAATTCAGTTTAACTTATAATCACATTTATAGACTTTTCAAAGAACTACTTATCAACCCTAACTGGTTTGGCTCAGTGGATAAAGCATCGGCCTGTAGACTCAAGAGTCCCAGGTTTGATTCCGGTCAAGGGCATGTACCTTGGTTGCGGACACATACCAAGTAGGAAGTGTGAAGGAGGCAGATGTTTCTCTCTCATGGATGTTTCTAGCTCTCTATGCCTTTCCCTTTCTCTTTGTAAAAAATCAATAAAATATATTATTTTAAAGAAGAACTATTTATCAAACTAAAAACAAATATTTTATTTGATAGTTAAAACATTCTACCTTTTCACCTTCTTGATCATCTCCTTCCTCTTCAGAATCAGAGGTTGACGTAACCCCTGTTTTAGCTAAATTTTTCCTTTTAGATTCAAGTTCCTTCTTCCCCTCTTTTTTGTCTGGCTCTTTTCTTGGCTTATCTTCTTCCTTCTGGCCCTCTTCATCCTTTTTAAGCTGCTTTTTAGGTTGTTTTTCCTCTTGCCCTTTTTTCTTACTTTTGTCTTCTTCAGTTACCCTATTTTAGAGAATGCAACAATAGAAAATGAACTTTTATGCATAATTAACATTTATCATTCAACTAAACTCTCAGTCAACCAAATAAGTGTTTTTAAAAAATAAGCTATAATTTACTTTTATTTAAAATATTTTTAAATAAAATATAATTGGAAGTCCATCATCCTGTGACAAAAGGAGAAGAGCACCCCTTTAAATAAATTACAAGATTCAAAAACTATAGTGGATTTGGGCTAACAGGAAAGTGATTCTCACCCTCCCACCTTTTTTTTTAATTTTTATTTTTTTACTTTTGTATAATGAGACTTATTCACTGAGGGCGGAGTGGGGGGGAGAATATATATATATATATATATATATATATATATATATATATATATATATATATATATATATATAACAAGTTCCATTTTCTTGACTCTGTGGATATAGCAATGTGCAAGATGGTAAAAGTCCCAGAACCTTTTGAACTTACATTCTACATATTTTATAAGAAATTATGTTTAAAAAGTAGAAACACTGGCCAAAACCGGTTTGGCTCAATGGATAGAGCATCGGCTTGGGGACTAAAGAGTCCCGGGTTCGATTCCGGTCAAGGGCATGTACCTTGGTTGCGGGCACATCTCCAGTAGGGGGTGTGCAAGAGGCAGCTGATTGATGACTCTCATCAATGTTTCTAACTCTCTATCTCTCTCCCTTCCTCTCTGTACAAAATCAATAAAATATATTTAAAAAAAAAAAAAAAGTAGAAACATTGGGAAAAATACAATCGCATGGGAACTGCATATGATCAAATGTTGTAATTTTAGAATTAAAAGAAAATCTTTACAAGGTAAAAGGCTCCCAACTTTTAAACTACAATACCAATTAAGTGTAGTATCAACAGTGATGGACTCCCTACTCCCTCCCCCTAGAGAACTTTAGCATTCCCAGCAGCACTGGATTTCAGACTTCACTAACATAAGTCAACCTACTGAATCGCTCACTAATCCTAACATACCATTGGATAGTATTTATGTAACAAGTACAGTAGATAAAACTGAGTATTTGTGTTATAACATGCTCTAGAAGAATCAAATGATGCTAACCACATAATCTTATTTTGTGTGTGTGTGTGTTTAAAGTAAAAAGAAATACAATTTGAAGTTTGGATGAACTGTTTTAAAACAAACCTTTTTTACTGTTTAAGGAATTCTACTAAAATTTTCACATTATACAATTATATCAATGAATTTGAAAGCTGGAAGGGGCCTATGTGACCTGGCTTTAACTGGATGGTAAACTGAACTCTAATATATTATTATACAACCAGAGGCCCGATGCACAAAATCCATGCAAGTGGTTCTGGCCCCCATCGCTGCGGTGACAGCCAGGAGCCTCTGCTACCTCTGCCTTGGCCCCTGCTGCTGCGGGTATTGGATCTAATTAGCATATTATGCTTTTATTTATTATAGATTATTATAGAAAGGTAAAACTCTCACATGTGATAACTCATAAGAAAGTGGAATGGAATGGGCTAAAAGTTAGTCCAACCCATTCCATTTGACAAATCAGAAAATGATAGTGCAAAGTCAATAATTTGCCCAATAACCTCCTACCAGACTTGCTTCCTTGAACCTTTGAGAGATTATTAAATTGGAAAAAAAAGAAAATTACCCTTTAACTCTTTAGAAATTTTTGTCACACAAATGGATTTCTTCCTTTACTTTTAATGGATGGAAGAAAAAGCATGAAATAAAATAACCTTTCTTTAATATTTCCAAAAATGTGAATATTTTTATCATAATCGATTTAATTGAGATAGGAACAGAGTTCAATGTAAAAAGCATTTTCATGGCTCTTACTAGCTACTGACCACTTGCCTCCCCAAAAATGTTACCCACCCTATGGATGGAAGCAGATATTAAAAATACAAATAACTTTTGTCCCAACACATCTGCTTCTAGCAATTTATTCTTACCAATATATTTGTATACATATATTTAGAAAATAGTGTATTTAAAAAGATGTACATATAGTCCTGGCCAGTGTGCTAAATGCTTAGAGTGTTGGTTCAATTCCTGGTTAAGAGCACATACCTGAGTTGCAGGTTCAAAAACCCTGGTTGGTTGGAATGCATATGGAAGGCAAGCAACTGATGTGTCCCTCTCACATTGAAGTTTCTTTCTGTCTCTTCTCTCCCTCCACCCCTTTTCCCAAAAATTATTGGAAAAAGATCCTAAGGTGAGGATTGACTAAGAAAGGGAAGGGAGGGGAAGAAAGATCTATAAATGGGATGGATCTTAAGAATTATAATACACCATGGAATACCATACAGCTGTTTTTAAAGAAAAAAATGATTAGAAAGTATATCCTAAAATCGCAATAGATAATTTCAAGGTTTAATGAATAAAAGCAAAGCAGAGAATTACAAAAATGTAATGATCACTGCTTGCTAAAAAATAATTTTCCCAATGGCCTTCCTTACCTCCTTCCATGAAAAACAGGTTTCCCCATAGTGACAACTTTCCTTTTTAAGTAGGTCAAGTTACAAAAGGAAATTTGTATTTGTAAATTTCTTTAGTCTTATAATATTTAAGTAAGCAAAGCCTATTGCAAACATACCCAAAATATCTCAGTGGCTTATAACAAATATTTCTTAATGTACATGAACATTATGAGATGGTTTCATTTCTTCTGGGCTTATTCCACTGTCATGTCATTTCAGGACCCACTGCAGAGAAGCTGTCAATGACAGATACATGCTGTTCCCATGGTGGAGAGTGGAAGTTTCAAAAGAACCTATACAGTTTAGCTGTTCATTCCACTGAGTTTGTTTTCAGATCCACATCCGAGAGTGGCTATTGCCAATCCCAGCCTACATATAGTGTGAATTAAAAATAAATATAGCAAAGATACTGCTTTTTGCAGTTGTCCATCATCTCAGCAAAAAGCTGTTAGTACAAAGTAAGTGATAGCAGCAACCCAAACATAAAATGTGACCTAGATGGCTTTGAAAAACCTATCTGGTTTGGAAAACTAAACTCTATTATTATATAAATAGTAGCCCAGCACACGATTCTGTGCACCAGTAAGTCACTGCCATCATGTTGTAGCTCTCTGCCCACTGGCCCACCCTCCTATTTTCCCCTGCCCCCTCCTGTAGCTCTCAGCTGCCCACTTGTAGTTCACTGCCCCACCCTCCTACAGATCTGTGATCTGGTCATTATGCCCCGATGGATAATTAGCATAGTCCTCTCTAATCATATAGGATGGACAAAACTGTCACATGTGAGAACTCACAAGAAAATACATTCAATGAACTTGTGACTTTTAGTAAAGAGGTTTCAAGGTAGAATGCTGGGATCTCGAGTTGGCTGTTACCAAGATAAATAGGGTACTTTAAGACATGAGTTCAAAAAAAATAATATGAAAACAAAACCAACACAAAGATTTCATGCATTTCAATGTTGAAAGTTGCCTCTATCCTGTAAAATTTTTTCAAATTCAAAAACTGGGTCAAAGATCCAATTATGGGTAAGCTGCCAGCCTTTCTTTAAGATTTCAAATTTAGTCACTTGCTCCTTCAGATAGACAAATGGAATGAAGAAACCAAGAGGTGTGCTCTCAGGAAAACCAACTCAAAGTGCCTGTAATTAAGTATAAAAAGATAAGCATGCTTGGCCAGTGTGGCTCAGTGGTTGAGTGCAGATCCATGAAACAGGAGGTTACTGGTTGGCTCCTGTTGGGGAATATGCCTTTATTGTTGAAAGTATTACATACGTCCCCTTTTTTCCCATTGACCCCTTCTAGCGCACACCTGCCCCCTGCCTTCACCACCCTGTTGTCTGTGTCCATGAATATTGTGCACATACTAGAGTCCTGATACACAAAATTCGTGTAAGGGTGGGCCTTTCTTCTCCCAGCTGCCGGCACTGGCTTCCCTCTGGCCATTGGCTTCATCCGGAAGCATGTTCAGTCTAATTAGCATATTATGATTTTATTATTATAGATGCATTCAAGTCCTTTGGTTAATATCTTCCCACCTATCCCCACTTTCCCTCTGAGAATGGACAGTGAGACCACACTGCACACAAAGCTGACTAGAATGCAACACATACTAACAATACAGTATTATTACCAAAACTAACAGCAGCCTACTTCAAAAGTAATGGAGATATAAAAAGGAACTTTTGGCCTCTAACTTATCATAGTCTGAAAGCAGACTAAGAACTGCTCAACTAGTAAGGAGGATAACATTTGCCAATGAACTTTTCACATGCAACTCAGGATGATAATGAAAAGCACAGAACTCTCCAAGGAATCAGGCAAAAGCCATGGAGAAAAATGGACTAGGATACTCTCAAGGGAGTCTGAAGACTTATCAAGGGAGGTCTCCCAGTATGTTCCCAGCATAATTTCATATTTCCTATGAACAATGCTGTGCACCTCTTAAACCTCTCCTTTCCATTATTTTAAAAATATTTTTATTGATTCAAAGAGGGAGAGAAGAGAGAGAGAAACATCAATGCTGAGAGAGAATCACTGATTGGATGCCTCTTGCACACCCGCTACTGGGTTTGAGCCCACAACCTTGGCATGTGCCCTTGGCTGGAATTGAATCCAGGACCTCTTCAGTCCAAGGGCTGATGCTCTATCCACTGAGCCAAACCAGCTAGGGCTATGTGGTATGTTTTAAAACAAAAACAAACTCACCAGCATATGTACCTAACTTAATTTCACTGCAATAGTTAAAACTATGTTGCAATTCTATGCCACTCCCCCCCTCCCCCATTCTTAGGAAGGGAGGAGAGAGATATAGAAATATTAATGATGAGACAATCATTGATCTGCTGCTTCCTGCATGCCCCACACTGGGTATAGATATAGAGTCCACAACCTGGGCATGTGCCCTAACTGGGAATTGGACCATGACCTCCTAGTTTATGGGTCAATGCTCAACCAGTGAGCCACACCGGCTGGGCTAAGTAGCATTTTTAAGTAAGCTATTCTGAAAGATTTGTGGAAATTGCTCCAAGAACACTTGCCTAAAATTTCCTTAAACTTGTTTTACCCTGCATTTTCTATTATATCAATTTTAACTTTATGTAATAAAAAACAAGAGCAGTTTTCCTCATAATTTTTAGAAAAATAGAACAACATATATCCTACAATAAAACTAGTAAAAAAGCAGAGATTCATGCTTATTTAAAGTCAGATGTCTAACATTGCATAACTATTTATACATCAAAAATAAACTTACATGTCACTCTCTGAAGGACAGGTCTGTTTTACCATTTTGGGTCTGCCTCTTGGTTTTGGAATCTTGGCTTCTGTAGCTAACATTCAGAGGGGGGAAAATTCTGTTAACTACCAGCTTTCCTCTGAAATATAAATCTCACATATAAAGATTACAAATGATATACAGAGTGGGCAAAAGTAGGTTTATTGATAGCAAAAAAGAACTCTGCTTGAGGATAGCTAACAGGTAAACTTCAAGAATAATGAAGGCTGGCAATATCATCACTTATGGATTTTATTGAAGTGTACTGTGACATTCTTTGGAGTTAATGAAGTTATAATAATCATAATCATATAAACAATTGTAAACATACTTTTGCCCATCCCTGTTAGAGGAGTATTGCTTAGTGGCTTATTAGATATACTATTATTTTAAGTTGTAAAGATAATATCCCTCTAACAAATCAAAGGAGCAACAGCTGAAAATTTGGAGAGAATAACAGTAATTTTAAATCTGTCCTTAGTATGGCTGAGAGGACTTAAAAGAACATCCTTCACTGTTGTTTTAACAAAGTATGACAAAATTATGAGTTGCACTTATATCTAATATTCATATACATATTATATAATATTATGTGTATAGGTAGATTCACAACCAAAAATTTGTAATCCAATTTCAATGCTGATGATAGCAACATACTATAAAGGGTCTAAACAAATAATGTAATAATCCTATATAATAAAGAGGTAATATGCAAATTGACCATCACTCCAACACACAAGATGGCCACCCACATGTGGACACAAGATGGCCGTCACAAGATGGCCAAGAGGGGAAGGCAGTTGTGGGCGATTAGGCCAGCAAGGGAGGGCAGTTGGGAGTGACCAGGCTGGCAGGGGAGGGCAGTTAGGGGCAATCTGGCTGGTAGGGGAGCAGTTATGTGTCGATCAGGCTGGCAGGCAGAAGCAGTTAGGAGCAATGAGGCAGGCAGGCAGGCAGGCAAGTGGTTGGGAGCCAGCAGTCCTGGATTGAGGGATCCCAGATTGGAAATGGTGCAGGCTGGGCTAAGGGATAAACACGCCCCGCCCCCATGCATGAATTTCATGCACCCAGCCTCTAGCTAAAAAATGTTAGTAACTTTGTTCAAATGCCCTTTCTCTTGCTTGCATTATGACTCTATTTGGAAAGCTTATGATCTCTAAAGTTAAGAGGTAAAACAAGCCCATCATTCATGTAATTTAAACCTCACCACTGCCTCATTTGCCACTTTTAGGGGAAAATACAATAGGGATAAAACAGAAAATGACAAGTCCCAAGCAATTATCTCAAATTTAAACATTTCATTACATAGAGCAGAAACTAAATTGAACTCCTTTAAAACTTGTACATTATCCATAACCAGTTGCCTATCCAACTATTCCAAAGTATCTAAGGCACAACACTTAGAATATCTGTAACATTAATCATAAGCCAGAGTTTTAAACATTTTAATCCTACCTGCAGGTCGTCCTCTTTTAGGACTCACTTTTAGATTAGCAGATGCTGTTGCTGTTGTCACTACTCCTGCCTCCTCAGTTTCTACTTGCTTTTCTGCCTGAATCACAAAGATTTAATTAACTTATTTAGCAAATAGTAGGCATTTCAGTTTTAGTCAATGGCCAAAGTATGCCACTCTAGATAACAAATTCAAGTACATGCATAATTTTCATATGCTATTTTTCCTAAGTTGACTCATCAAGTGAGATCTTCAACTTAGCTTATAATTCTAGTGAGCAATTGTAAGAAACAAGCAAAAACTTCACCTTTTAGATATTGTTAACCTAAAAAAGTCATTTGGAAACAAAGGTAATACTCTCAAGGCAAAATAGTAACCAAAGTATAACATAATTACACTGTAACAGCTCATACATTCTTTATAAATGTACTTTAAATATCTAAAAGTGCTAACACTTTTCACTTACAACATAAAACCCAAGTTAATATTCTAATATTAGAAAACTCAAGAAATTAACTGCTGATTGTTTTTTAAACTGTTAACATGTACACATTTTATTTTTTAATGGACTAAGGTCTGTTATTGTTTTTCTTTTAAATCTTCACTTGAGGTCATTCTTACAGAAAGGGAAGGGGGAGGAGTAGAGGGAAACGGAGAGAGGGAGGGAGAGACAGACAGACGGGGGGAGAGAGAGAGACGGAGAGAGAGAGACGGAGAGGGGGAAAGGGAGAGAGAGAAACATCGATCAGTCCTCCTTATGTGCCAAACCAGTAATCAGATCTGCAACCCAGGTATGTACCGTGAATCAGCAATCCCTTTGTGCACATGTTGATGATCAGCCAACTGAGCCACTCCAGCTGGGCTGAAAACTGTTATTCTTATTTTCCATACAGGGTGATTTACTACAGTGTAGAAAATAAATCCCAATGTCACTTTGCATATTATAATGCCCCCAGCGACAATAACCCCAAATGAGAGTCAATTTAATTGATTCAAGTATTAAAGTAAAACAAAGGTTAGGAACCACTAATTAGAAAGGAAGTACAATCTTGATCATAATGGAAAAGGGAAGAAAGAAACAGTAAAGAGAACTGAGAAGAATGGGAGGACCACTATGAGCTGCTGCCCCACCTCCAATTATTTAGAATTCAACAGTAACTAGATCAACAAAATAAAGGCAATAATGAAAAGGCAAGCACAGCCGAAACCGGTTTGGCTTAATGGATAGAGCATTGGCTTGGGGACTGAAGGGTCCCGGGTTCGATTCCGGTCAGGGGTACCTTGGTTGCGGGCATATCCCCAGTAGGGTGTATGCAGGAGGCAGCTGATCAATGACTCTCTCTCATCGATGTTTCTAACTATCTCTCTCCCTTCCTCTCTGTACAAAATCAATAAAATATATTAAAAAAAAAAAAAAAAAGGCAAGCACAATCCAATGTGGATGAAAAAATTAAGACTCTTTAATTAACAATCTGATTTACAAACTTTTATGAGATAGTGCCCAATACTGCTAAGGATACGGATAATCATCCTATATAATAAAAGGCTAATATGCAAATTGTCCGTTCAACCAGTAGTTCGACCAGGGGTTGGGACCTGCAAACTGCCCATACCCACCCCCAACCCCAGGCCTCTAGTTCAGATAATAATTAATGATGCTCAATAAACTGGTAACACCTTTCTGAAATATCTTTATGAACGAACAGTGGCAATAAAGAATATACGAATCAAAGTCAGCAATCCCACTTCTAAGAGTTTATCCATTTTCTTTTTGTTAGTTTTTTTAAACATTATTTTTGCCTTTATAATTAGAATGTAATGATACATATAATGAGGATTATTAAAAGTCTTAATAAACTCATCTACTATAACTCTTGAATTGTTCTCAAGAAAACTGTTCCTAAACATTACCTCAGGTTGTTTTCCAGAATTTTTAGCATCTACAAACCACCTACCCCTACCCCAGGGAGCTGTGTTTTTACCAAGTCTCTCAGATATCAAATATATCAGATATCAGAACTATGTGAGCTCTTTTTCTATTGAGGCATTAAGAGAGTAAAAGTTCTATAAAATTCAGTTCAAACTGTTGAGTCTTCACTTCAAAATAAAACCTTTTCCAGTCAATCAATGTTTCTCTCTCAGCATTGCTTTCTCCCTCCCCCTTCTCCGTTCCTCTCTGAAACCAATAATAAAAATATATTTAAAAATAAAACATCTTGTGCAAATAAATCAAGATATAAGGCTGTAGCCCTGTCCACTTTGGCTCAGTGGATAGAGTGTCGGCCTGCGGACTCAAGGGTCCCAGGTTCGATTTCGGTCAAGGGCATATACCTTGGTTGGGGGCACATCCCCAGTAGGAGGTATGCAGCAGGCAGCTGATTGATGTTTCTCTCCCATCGATGTTTCTAACTCTCTATCCCTCTCCCTTCCTCTGTAAAAAATATCAATAAAATATATATTTGAAAAAAAACAATAATATAAGACTGTACAAGTAGAATGAATCTTTTGAGGAGATTCTAATAAGAGGTAACAAGTTCATCAGTAACTAATATCAGAAATATAAAAAATAACCCTAATCCTAAACGGAAAATCAGCTCTACTATGGATATGCTTTTTAACTTATGGCAAAATCATTCAAGTAAGTTCCATTCCTCATGAAAATAAACAAAAAATATTTCATCCAGAGAAAAGATTGTTATATTATTCCACATGTACATATATTTATATTTTAAATGCTAATATTCTGACTAATTTATTCTGTATTTTACCTGATCTCACTGAAAGCTATACCCTTTGACACATTTTCTCTTCATTTATTACTCCACTTTCGACCTCTACTCCCTTCATGATCTCACCCCTCACACTCACACCTTATGAAATATAGTGTTCCTATTCATTTTCAAGCCTTCTGCATAGTTGTTTTGCTGCACCTATCCCACATATCCCCAACAGAGGATTACTATAAAACTCTCTTTTCCCTGCTCTATTATTCCCTGCTGCTGAGCCCTCCTGAAAATAATTATACAAATATGGATTCATTTTGTACATCTCAGTTGGGATCTCAAAGCCACCCATTAATCCTTTACCCTGTCTTTTGTAGTACCTTTTTCTCCCCTCACTAGCATAAATTTGCAATTCTTTCTTCTCCCCTTATACCATACCTTGCTTTGAATTGAGTTCATGAGAAGGGAGTGACTTAGGCCAGCAGGAAGGAATTTCCAAGTCCCTGTAAAAATTCTTAATAGCCTACTCTACCTTTCCCTTTAATGTTAAAAAGGATGAAATGTCATTCAACTCCTTCTTGCTGGCAAGTCTATGTTTGTAATGTGCCCTCCCTTCTCTCTCATCCAGCATGTCCTTACATACAATAACTCATCTTTCCACATGTTGGATCTTTCCTACTTTTGCAAGGAAGCATTAATTTCTCTACTGTATTTTTCCACTTTAAACACTCTTAACCATGCAAATCCCCGTTGCTGCCTTCTTTCTCCTTTAAAGATTTCAGGTATACAGTGTAATTTTACCATTGAATATATTATTCACCAGCACTCTTAATCTGTTTTACCATTTAACGTTAAAGCATCCTGCTACTTATCTTACTGGAAACCCTCTACACCATGGTACTACTGACCACACCCTCATTCTTAAAATTCTGTTCTCCCTTTTGATATCCTGACAGTTCATAGCAGAAATTATAAAAAAGCAATCTTTCATCTTCATACCAGTGGTGGCATCTTTAACTTTTACCTTTTCCCCTCTTGGTGTCATAATAATATATACAGGGTATCTTCCCTCTCTTCCCCCGCCAATGTATACACACACTTTGAATAATTATAAAGGTGGTGTTTATTAAAATAGATTTCATTTTCAAAATTTAATTTTAACAGCTATCAGCTGTTAAAATGTATATACATTTTTTAGGACATCCTGTATATGTATCTTTAGTCTTATTTCCAAAGTGTTTCACTCCCTCCTTCCCATGCCTCTACTCCCAAACCAACATCTCCTGTATTTTCAGAATTGGATTTAGTCATACAAGCCAAAAGACCTTAGTCATACTAGATTCTACCCCCACCCTTCTTCACACCCATTCCCATCAACTATCATCTTTACTCTCTAAAGTGCTCTTAAATCCCATCTCTCACTTACACTACCAAGACACCTGTCCTTCCGATCTCATGTGAACTCCTTAGTAAGGCAGTCCATAACTTAGTTACCAAGTCACTATCATAACTCCCCACTTAACTCTCTTGTTTTGTGTATTTATTGTCTGTCTTCAACAAGAACAGAGATCTTATCTTTACTTCACTGCTTAATTCTCTGCCTGGGCCAGTGAAGTTAATATTAAAATTTGAATGAATTAACTAGTAAACTGATCTCACCAGTCCAATCTAATCCCCATCATTCACACTGCTTTACAAGGAGGCATCTAAAATTTAAAGTGTTTCAATGGCTTACCATCAAGTTCAGATTGTCCCCATAAAATATTTTGTGTACCCTTTTCCCTCTAACTTTATGGTCTGATAATCTGAAATGCAAAACTTGAAATATTTTCTCTACACCTCTGTATATTATTCTAACTGCCTCATTTGCTCTTCCTGTCTGTCCCTTCATTCATCTGACAAAATTCTTCCTATCATTTAAGATATGGTTAAAGTTATCAGAGCCTCTTCTACTCACCTCCCATCTAGGATAAAAAGTCACTATAATTCACAGTTTTCCTATTTTATTTCCTCATTAGATACTGAACTATAATTTTATTTGTATCTTTGACGTACAACAGCCTGAGATAAAAATTCATTTCATAGGGAAGAAACATTAGTTAAAAACATAAAAAGCATGCTTTCCTAAACTGTCATTTCATGCAACAAATTTCTGAGAATAACATAATAATGAATCACACTTATATTAGCACTTTATATGTAATTTATTTTGAATATTATATGTATAACATTTAATTCTCTTAACTACCTCATTAGTATATATTATTTCCATTTTATAAGTAAACTTGCAACAGCATCATTAAAAGGAATAAAAATTGCTTAATTTTATTTTCTTTGCCATTTAACTTATCATAAAAATGTTGTATCATTATGAAAAGAAAAGTGTTGCTCTGGCCGGTTTGGCTCAGTTGGTTGGAGCATCGTCCCATGCACGAGGGGTCTTGAGTTGATTCCTGACAGAGCACATACCAGGTTGCAGGTATGAACACAGGCGGGGGCGTATATGGGAGGTAACCAATAGATGTTTCTCTCTCTCCCTTTGTCTCTCTAAAATCAATGAAAGCATATCCCCTGGTGAAGATTAGAAAGAAAAAAAATTTATTTTTTTTAAAATATATTTTCTCGATTTTTTACAGAGGAAGGGAGAAGGATAGAGTATTAAAAACATCAACAAGAGAGAAACATCAATCAGCTGCCTCCTGCACACCCTCCACTGGGGATGTGCCCGCAACTAAGGTATATGCCCTTGACCAGGATTGAACCCAGGACCCTTCAGTCGTAGGCTGATACTCTATCCAGTGAGCCAAACCAGTCAGGGCAAAAGACAGTTTTGATAAGTAAACAAAACCTACCCTTTAAAAAATTAAAATAATTATAAGTAAAAAGGCAAAATTCAAGCTAAATGGGAAGGTTTCATTATATCTATTCTTCCTTAGTGCAACTCAAAAATTATTTAAGCAGTAAAATTACCTTTCTCTTTCTTCCCCTTCTGGCAGCTTTTGGAGTGGTTATGTCAATTGCTTTAGTCACATCCTAGAAAAAAAATTACAGATGAAATAAAATAAATTTTGCCAAGACTGAAAGAAAATTTCTTAAACTAAAAGTCAAAAGCACACTTCACTAATACTACTAGGGAAATTGGTTTTGCTTCTCTAACCTTTGAAATTATAAACATTAAGTCTTAACATTATTACCCAGCCTTTGTGGATGAGTGGTTAAGCATTGATCCATGAACCAGGAGGCCATGGTTCAATTCAATTCTGGGTATGGGCACATGCTGGGTTGCAGGCTCGATTCCCAGTAGGGGACATGCAGAAGGCATCCAAGCAATGATTGTCTCTCATCACTGATGTTTCTCTCTCTCCCTCTCCTTCCTCTCTCTGAAATCAATAAAATTATTTTCTTAAAAAGCCTTAACATTGTCATTGTAAGGTCAAAGTAATAGCTAGTTTATTTGCCAAAAAGTAAAAATTCTTTTCTCTGTCAGATCAAATCTAAAGTGATACTTGTTAGCACACCAGAAAGTTTATATTTAAATTTATGAAATCACTTTTTCTACAGTAGAGTTCTGAATTTTAAAAGATGGCTGGGATTTTGGAGATCATCTAATAATCATTTCATGAGGCCTACAAGGGTTAAATGAATCTCCTTATTTACAGTTTGAAGTAAAGCTAGGTTTTTAAAAATTCAGTTCAATGACCTTTCCAGTACATCCATTACACAAAACCTTGCTTTAAAAATATTCCTAACAAATAATAATCCATTCTCCTATAGGTGGACCTTATATTTTGAATAGCAAAATAACCTCAAATAAAACATCCATTCATATTAAGGATGCAAAAACTATTTTACAATATAGTATTTAATATTTACACCAGGAAATGTCTTAAATTATCTCATTCATTACCCAACCACTTTAAAGATTACTTTCTACTTTGCAATCAAGTAATCATCTCATTTTATAATTTCTTCCTTACTACAAAATAGATTTAGAATATAAGAGAAATTAAAAATACCTCATTGCTGGCTTTTTCTTCATGGTCAGTATCTTCCTTTGAAACACTCATTTCTTTTTCTTCAGCCTCAACATCAGATGATGCGTTTGATTGTTTAGCTGATGCCTATGAACAATTGATTATATTAATTTCATAAAACTTTTACCAAATTTAAATTTTTTTACAAATGAAAAATCAAAAGCCTATTCATAAGAAAGTTAGAAAAGTACTCTCACAATTTCTGTTCCACAGAGCACTTATAATATATATAATTTTAAAAGTTTTAAATGCTATTGAATTCCTGCAACTGTATACAAGAAGAGAATACAAAATAGTGAGGCTGAAAGTACAATCACAAATCCCATTCTGATAGTGTAACCAACAAATATCCAGGAGGATACAATATAAGTTGATTTAGAATAGTACAGTGTATTCAATTACTGAAATATTCTGGAGAGAGAAGCTTAACTGTGTAAGACATAAAGCCTTAGATTGATCTATAACTCAATTTAAAAGGCAGACTTCGGAGACCCAAACTTGAGTGATTTGGATTTAACAGGTACTGAGCGAGAGTCAATAATTATTATTTAATTGTAAAAGTAGCCCAGATGGTGTGGTTCAGTGGCTGAGCACTGATTCCATTCCTATGCACTGATTCCATTCCTAGTCAGGGTACATGCCCAGATTGGGAACTCAGTCACCATGGAGGGTATGTAGGAGGCAGTTGATTGATAATTCTCTCTCATCACTGATGTTTCTCTCTCTCCCTCTCCTTTCATCTCTCTCTAAAATCAATAAAAATATTTTTTAGCCCTAACCGGTTTGGCTCAGTAGAGAGCCAGCCTGCGGACTGAAGGTTCTCAGGCTCGATTCCAGTTAAGGGCATGTAACTTGGTTGCAGGCACATGCCCAGTAGGGCATATGCAAGAGGCAGCTGATCAATGTTTCTCTCTCACTGATGAATTTTTTGCTCTCTCTTCCACTCTGTAAAAAAAGCAATAAAAATTATGCTTTACAAATATATTTTTTTAAAAACCAATAGAACATAATTTAAAAAATTATAAAAGTAACCCCAGGTTATAGATACTTAAGCAGGTGATCTAGGGGCCTAGACTGTCATTAATACCAACTAAAAAGATGAATAACTGAGGCAACACAATACACAATGGGGAGTGAGGGTAAGCACAGATCTACAACATGATAGCATTATAATCCAAACTGTGTTCCTTTCTAGCTGTATTCCCTTTGACACGTCTTTTAAATTGTAAACCCATTTCCTCTTTTGTAAGAAAAGGCAATGCTAATAAAACCACAAATTATTATAAAGTTACAACAAAACACATAAAAATGCCCCTAAATTACAGCTCTATAGCACAATCATTCATATTTTTGGTTTCATGCATACAACCAACCAAAAATTTCACTGTGAAATGGAAAATTCCAAGTATATATGGTGAAAATTATTTAAAGATTAAGTAAGGTAGATAAGAACAGAGGAAGAGAGGATAGAGTGACCATGCTAGGCAATCTGGAGGATGAAAAAGACCATGAAGATATAGTCACAGCACAAAAGGATTCAGATGAAGCTATAAAATATTAGTTTTAGGAAACAATTCAACCTATTTGGACACTTTACACAGCAAAACAATAATGATAGGGAACCACTCATCAAAGTCATGCAACAATATTTAGTGAAAACCTATTCTGCCCACAACATATAACAATGGGCATGCAACTTCTTTGTTCATGGAGTTAATAGTCTATGGTAATAAAGTACAGAAACAATTATGGTATGGTATGATGAGTTTTTAACAAATTTAAGTTTTGGATGATAATGAAAAGCACTTAGGATTATCTAATGGAGCCCCGAAGCATCAATGAATGATTTAATGCTCCAGATAGAACAGCACCTGAAAAGCTTTCAAAGTGAAGAACAAGCTTGGCACATGCAAAGAACCAAAATAAATAAATAAATAAATAAATAAATAAAAAATAAATAAATAAATATTTTAAATAAGAGATTTAAAAGTAGAATTTGCAAATTTTCCAGTTTATGGCTTTCTCCTTGTTTAGGTTTATTTGTACCTTTCCTAGCGTTTACTATCTCAAGTCTAATATAAGTGAACAAAAACTCTGATCACATAAAAAACAGAATAAAAAGGAGGTTTAATCTTCTAGACACAAAAGACATTAAGCATAATTTACATAGTGCTACAAGTACTTTTGTCACATATTGAATTTACCCATCTGAGGATTATATTCTAATACAATTTTATGGATAAATTAAAACGAGTAAGAAAACACACACTCTTCAAATTATAAACCTAAATTTAAAAGAACAGTACATATAGCTTTATATTCAATGATATAACTCTCAATCAAATGGAGTTAAACTACAATATATTCCAGTTTTCTGAGATCTTTCAAAAGTTCATCTAGATATTAAAGGTCACCATTCAACCTCACAAATAACAATTTAATCTGAAACTGACATGGTTCTTAAATCAGTATTTCCTACTGCTACAATAGTGAGTATTCCCCAAGACTGAATACATAATACTAAACTAAGTATATCATGTAATATGACACACCTGTTGACTTGAAAATTTCACTTTTGGATTGTTGTCAATCTCCCATAAGCCTTCATTAAAGCCTTTTCGTTTATTTGGTTTTCCATACTTTTCCTTATTTTCTGAGTAAGGGAATATATCCTTTGGGCCTAAAAAAGCACTAAAAGAAAATAGAGAAAGGGAAGGAAAATATGAATGCAAAGCAATCTCTAAGTATGTTATTAAATAACACTACTATATGATGCAATTATCAAACTTAATCTAAAACGCATTAAAATCTTATATAAAGGAGTAGACAAATAATTACATTTAATTCTGAATACTTTATTAAATTCAGTCACAAGCTCCTACATCCATAATCCTATTTATAAAACCAAGCAAGTTAGGGTGTGTGTGGCGGGGGGAATGGAGGTAGAAGATGCCATAAAAGGGATATATGGTGATGGAAAAAATTAAATAAAAACAAGCAAGTTGCACAAGAATGAGAAATACTTAAGGGCATGGAACTGTACACTTTGAAATTGTTAAAATGGGAAATTGTTATATATTGTACAATATAAAAATGCACAAAAACGAAACTGTGACATGATTGCATTAGTAAATACATTTAAATGCACTCAAAATAGAAGTTCATTTTAAAGTAATTAGGTATATTACACAACTCATAAAACACCACCAATATAATATATTCTTACATGCACTTATGTTTTATATTTATACAAATATTTATTAAAAAGTATTAAGAATTTTACTTTTTCAGTAAGGGAATTGAATGTGCTAACTGGTTCGTTGATTCATTCATACACAGCACAACTTCTTGTATTTAGGGTAATTGTGTCATAAAGTTATCACAAATACTGAATTAGTAAATACTGCACCACTGCTTCAGGAAAAATACAAGGTAGGTTCCTACGGGCCTCTGGTTACATTTTCATCAATAAACCAAAATACATAACCTGTTTTATGTGTGATTTTATTTAAAGACATCTTATTTAATTCATTAACATTCATCTCACAGCCAAGAGATTATATTACACATACTTTCTCTATAATGCTCACTACAACCTTCTTAAACTTAGAAACACTAACAGCCCTTCACCACCACATTTGAGGCTCATTATAAATACCAAATGACCAACGGAAAGTACAAATATGCAAAAACCAAGGCTTTACATAGACTGCAAAAGTACAGCCTACTTTTATAGTATGAAATCTTAAACAAAAAGGCAAAAGCACTGTCTTGTTTAGCCTCAGCTAGGAATGCGCATCACATTACTCACTTTTTTGTAATTTTGCATACTGACATGACCATGAAGGCACCACAAGTACTGATTTAGAATTATAAATTTTTCTGAGGAGAACTCAGAAATATGGAATCTGCCAATGAAGCAATTCTATTATTTTTGTGTGTATACACACAAATGTATTTATCCCTATAGCTTACTATGTCAGTTCTGTAGAAGTCTGTCAATTCTATAAATGTAGAGGTACATATAGTAAGTTTTTGCTGGTATTTGTAGGTTTGACCAGATAAATTTACACGGATTTTTCTTTTTTCAAAAAGGTAGTCCTTTTCTTGCATGACAATATGAGACCATAAAAATGACTGTGTAAGGCCATTAATGGGAAAAATTATGATTGTTTCATAATCTTTACTTTTTAAAAATATTTTTATTGATTTAAGAGAGGAAGGGAGAGGGAAAGATAGCATACATCCATGATAAGACAGAATCATGAGTTGGCTGCCTCCTGCACGCCCTACACTGGAGATTGAGCCCACAACACAGGCATGTATCCTGACCAGGAATTGAACTGTGACCTCCTGGTTCATAGGTAAGACGCTCAACTACTAAGCCACACTGGCAGGGCTTACGATCTTTAAATGTTGTCAAAGCATTCAACACAATTACTGACAGTGTTCAAGGAAGTGGAAAAAAAAAAACAGCACAAAAACTTATACACAAACTAGAGGCCCAATGCACAAAATTCATGCAGGGGGATGTGTGTCCCTCAGCCCAGCCTGCACCCTCTCCAATCTGGGATCCCACCAGGATCGGGTCTAAACAGGCAGTCAAGACATCCCTCTCACAATTCAGGACTGTTTGCTCCCTGTTTGCTCCCAATTGCTTGCCTGCCTGCCTTCCTGATTGCCCCAAATTGCTTTTGCCTGCCAGCCTGACCACCCACTAACCACTCCCATGCCAGCCTGATTAATGTTTAACTGCTCTCCTGACACAGCCTGTTTGCCCCCAGCTTCCCTCCTCTGACAGCCTGGTCACCCCTAACTATCCTCCCCTGCAGGGTTGATTGCCTCCAACTGCCCTCCCTTGCAGGCCTGGTGCCTCCCCTGCCCTCTCCTGCTGGCCTGATTGCCCACAACTGCCCTCCCTTGCAGGCCTGGTCTCTCCCAAATGCGCTCCCCTGCTGGCCATCTTGTGGTGGCACTTGTGTCCACACAGGGGCAGGATCTTTAACCACATGGGGCAGCCATCTTGTGTGTTGGAGTGATGGTCAATCTGCATATTACTCTTTTATTATTTAGGATAGAGGCCTGGTGCACGGATGGGGGCCATCTGGTTTGCCCTGAAGGGTGTCCCAGATCAGGGTGGAGGTTCCCTTGGGGCGTGGGGCGGCCTGGGAGAGGGGTCTGTGGTGGTTTGCAGGCCAGCCACTGGCAACCCAAGCGGAGGCCCTGGTATCTGGAATTTATTTGCCTACTACAACTGAAACTTTGTAGCCTGGAGCGGAGCCGAGCCCCCTGCTCACGCCATGGCTGCCGCCATTTCTGTTTGGATTTGTTTACCTTCTATAATTGAAACTTTGTAGCCTGGAGTGGAGGCCTAGGCCGGCCAGGGCAGGTGGAGAAGGATGGACAGATCAGGATGCACTTTAAAAGAAAACAACAAGACTTTTGGCTCCAGAAAAGCATTGGGTCCACGTCAGTCTCATTTACTAAGAATCCGTTTTAAAGTTGTTAGTTTTAAGGTATTTAGTATATGGTCAGAGTTGGTATACACTTATTGTTGTCTAATGTTCAAAACTTGATTGCTGGATGAATTTACTGTAAATGTTGTAAAACACTAAGAAAATTCATTTTCATAATAAAGTTATAAAAGGATTCTGCTCTCAATTCACAACAAAAATACCTTAATTTATACAATATAAAAAGCCTCACCATTAAACATTAGAGAAGGTATGATCATTTGTTATCTAAATTTAACATAAGAATGAACCCTGTGTTCTACAAAACAATTAGTATATAAGTTATGAATAAGCACAGTTTCCTAAATTGCTATTTCATTTTCTATGTTCCTCCTTTCCCATCTCCCTAACTACAGGCCATTAGAATAAACTCCTATTTATGCAAAATCCAAATAGAAATCCTATATAATAAAAGGGCAATATGCAAATAGACTGAACAGCAGAACAACCAACCAACCAAAGTGTAGTATGCTAATGATATGCTAAGAATCTTCAACAGCTCTCTATGATGTGCACTGACCACCAGGAGGCAGATGCTCCAAACAGGAGCTTAGCTTGCCTGGGGTCCAGTTAATCAGGACTGAGCAAGATGGGCCGGATACGCCCTGGAGCCCTCCCTCAGCCCCTCCCTGGCCTGATTTCTCAGGCCACTCCCCTTGGAGGGCACCAGACACTGGGCTTATGGCTGGCAAGCACTGCTGCAGCAGTGTGAGCCTCTCCTGATCAGGACTGATTGGGCACAAGCCCACAGCAGGCACAGTGAGGCTGGGATGAGCGGGAGCAGCAGGTATGAGCTGTAGGCAGTGTTAGACTGCAGATTTAAACCAGACCCCTGCAGGCCACTCAGAGGAACCCAACCCATGCACGAATTCGTGCACTGCACTGGGCCTCTAGTATTCAAATAACCACCCTCCCAACTTTGGGGACAGAGGGGATAGGCAAATCACCAAAGATCTAGTTTCTAAAATCTAACCTGAGGTACAAAAAGTCACCAAACTGACAGATACAGCAGCCTGGCCTTTCCAAAGATAAACGATATACTTATAAGAACACTAAGCACAAAACATTATCAGTGTGTTTTGAAATAAAATGTATTATTAGCTTAATTTTAAAATTACATTCCATTTCCTTGAACATATTCAAATTTCTTAAAACTAGTAATTTAGTGTCTATATCAAGGGTGGGGAACCTTTTTCTGCCAAGAATCATACAAAATTATCAATTTAAAAATTATGTAGCTATGAAAAATGCTCCCAGGTATATCTAATTTTGAATCCAGCCTGCAGTTGCCTTGGTGGGGCCAAACCAAATGATACTGCAGGCTGGATATTCCCCACCCTTGGTCTACATTAAACCAAACTATGATTATGAAAGTTTAGTAGTCAGTGCAGTTTGATTTCAAGTTTACAGATACAATGTAAAAATTTTCATTAAAAAAAAAAAAATTATATATATATATATATATATATATATATATATATATATGTAGTTTTGTTTTTTACAGAGAGGAAGTGAGAGGGACAGAGAGTTAGAAACATCCATGAGAGAGAAACATCAATCAGCTGTCTCCTGCACACCCCCCACTGGGGATGTGCCCACAACCTGCACACCCCCCACTGGGTACGTGCCCTTGACAGGAATCAAACCTGGGACCATTGAGTCTGCAGGCCAACGCTCTATCCACTGAGCCATACTGATTAGGGCTAAAATTTTCATTTTTAAATGTTGGTGAAGGTATGACCACTTTTCATTTAAATTTAACATATGAAAGAACTATAGGTTCTATAAAACTATAGCTATATGTATAAAATCTGTTCCATCTCAGAAAAATTAAAGAACTCTAAACTTATAAAACTGAAAAATTCTATGAAACATCTATTCCCATTATTCTAATAGTATTTCCAAACTTCACATACATAAAAATCATCTACCGTGTTTCCCCAAAAATAAGACCTACTTACAGGTTTCCTTCTGAGTGAAATATAAGGCATCCCCCAGAAAATAAGCCCCCTCTCCCCTAGGCTAAACATGAGAGATTTGGTTGGTCCACTGATTCTGAAAGAAATGGAGTCATAAGAAATTCACCAAAAAATTCAGGAATTGGATTGTTATGATGATGTTCCAGAAGATGATGACATGATTGTCATTGAATAAATGAGTAAATTCTTGATACTGTAGGATTCACAGTTTGTCTGGTTTGTGTTGACAACTACTGTACTACTGTACCGTATACAGGTAATAAATTTCCTTTATTTTCGTTTAACAATAAATGTGTACCATATTCTTCTTCATGGAAAAATAAGACATCCCCTGAAAATAAGACCTAGCGCATCTTTAGGAGCAAAAATTAATATAAGACACTGTCTTATTTTCAGGGAAACAGGGTAACACCACTTCTTCAAAATAGACTCACCCAGGCTGTGGTATCTTGTGGCAGAACCACTCTCAAGGGGCCAAAGAGCTGGATGTGGCTCATAGCTACAGTTTGCCAATCACTGCCCTAATACATTTATGGAACAGTTTTTAAATGGTATATTATCCCATGGAATCAGAAATTCATCATTTCTTTTTTTATATATTTTATTGATATATATATATATATATATTTTTTTTTTTTTTTTTTACAGAGATGAAGGGTGAGGGATAGTTAGAAATGTCGATGAGAGACAATCATCGACCAGCTGCCTCCTGCACACCCCCCACTAGGGATGTGTCTGCAACCAATGTACATGCCTTGACCGGAATCGAATCCGGGACCCTTCAGTCTGCAGACTGACACTCTATCCACTGACCTAAACCAGTTTCGGCAAAAATTCATCATTTCTTACAAAATTAAATATTTATGTATAGGATATTCCTAAACTCAACTAAAATAATTATGTTGAAGGCCAATCAAATTCTAGACTCAAAAAAAAAAAAAATATATATATATATATATATATATATATATATATATATTTTTTTTTTTTTTTTTTTTTTAAATCCTTACTGTTCAAAGTATTACATGTGTCCTCTTTTTTAGCCCATAGACCCCTTCTAGCCATTCCCTGCCCCTGGCCTTCACCACACTACTGTGTCAAAACTATATTTTAAAGAAAATAATTATGTGGCATTGTATGAACCATGTATTAATATGAACCATCTAGATTTGGAAAATCTAAACAGACAGTAAAATAGTGGTTGTCTAGGGTTGAGGAGGGAATGGATAATGAACACTAATAGTTATGGAAGTAAATATACTAAAATCCACTGCTTTATACTCTTTAAACAAGTAAAATTTATTACACAAATTACATCTCAATAAAGCTGTAAAATAAATTATAGGAAAGTTCATATAGTAGATAAGCAACGATAAAGCAAATGTTGCCATTGTAGACTCTTAGGAATAAATAATTCTAATTAGAATATCAATACTTTTGTTTCTCCTGCTCCCAAGTAAACAAGTATGTTACCAAAATTATGGCAAATTCTAAACTTCAGGTCCAAAAATCAATGAAATTACATATAATATTTGTAAGATCATTAAATTAAATGTATGCAGGATATTATTTTCCAAAATTAATGAGATAGCCTTAGAGCACTGGTTCTCAACCTTCCTAATGTCTGGACCCTTTAATACAGTTCTTCATGTTGTAGTGACCCCAACCATAAATAGGCTCTGCAGAACCACTAGCAGGATTGCCTAAGACCATCAGAAAACACAGATATTTATATTATGATTCATTAACAGTAGCAAGATTACAGTTATGAAGTAGCAACGAAAATAATTTTATGGTTGGGGGTCACCACAATATGAGGAACTGTGTTAAAGGGTCAAGGCATTAGCAAGGTTGAGAACCACTACCTTAGGGTGATTTTATGTACCTAGAAGTAAACAGTTCAATATTCAGTTGTAATTTTAAAAATTAATGTTTCACCAAATCGGGTTCTCTGCCCACTTATGTACCAGAGGCAACAGAACAGTAACAGTGTTTCTCAGAACCAGACATATAAATATCCAGATTTCTTCTCACTTTTCCCACTGTATACTGTTTGTATGACTAATATAACAAAGCCTAAAATAAGGTGCCAGATTGTCCTTATAAAAAGCACTTATAGTAGCCCAGGTGGTGTTGTTCAGTGGTTGTGCCTTGACCCAGGAACCAACAGTGGTTCATTACCAGTCAGGGAACATGCCTGGGTTGCAGACTTGATTCCTAGAAAGGGGTGTGCAGGAGGCATCTAATTGATGATGTTTAGCTCATCAGTGTTTCTCTCTACCCATCTCCTTTCCTCTCTGTAGAAATCAGTAAAAACCTATTTTTTTAAAAAAGGACTTATACTAAATATGAATGCTAAATGCCTTAAATCTTTACTTATATACTTTCATCAATCAGTTCTTCTAGTTGCTGAGAAGATCCATATATACCTTTCTTTATGATTAAGGAAACATCTCTTCCAATGAAAGTTAAAACCCATAGTGTCTAATTTTTCAACCCTAAAAATAAAATTTTAAAAGGGACACTTGAAGACTTTTTCCAAAGCTCACAGATGATTTTAAATTTTTTATTCCTTTACTATTTTCCCTTTAAATTAATCTCTACTTGTTTTTCATTTTATGTCCATTTTATGACTCTGCTAAATTAACTTTGATTTGCCTTTAAAGCCAAAAGGACTTACGTCTCATGAGTCCCAAAGAAAAAAATGGGCAGTTTGTTTGTTGGTGGTTTCACAGCTCCATCAGGAACTTCATCTACCTAAAAGAAAGAGCAAAACAATTAAAATATTTTAAATCATACATTCTTCAACAGAATAAACTAAAAACAAAACATCCAAAAACGGATCTGATATAATGTGAACCAGTTCTACAAGTCCATAATCCCTTATCCCTAGTTTTGAAACGCAATCAGCTCTAAAAACCAAGGTATTTCTAAAAATTCATTCAGTGGCAAGGAAGGCTATACAAATATTGAAGAAATGTAAAATAGACTGTAACAAAAGCTTATAGTACTGTTTCTCAAAGTCTGAAACATATTCTGAAAAGGTCTAATATTTACATGGCTGAATCACATGAAGTTCTTGTTCCTTTTTTCTCTTTCAATTCTAACTAATGAAGAAAGCATCCGGTGCTGTTACCTCTAACATATCTATGATATTATCACTTATTAATAAAGGAAAGCAGACCTCTGAGTTAAAGCCATCAGGCAATAGTATCTAGCCAGAATTTTTTTAAATTTCTATTTTGTTTCATTATTAATTTAAACCTTATAACATTTCCCCCCTAATTTCAAAGACACTTTAATTTAAAAATCAGTTCTCTTTATTAAGAAGAGAGCAGACCATCAGAGGACCTACTATACTCTGCAAGCATTATCATCATGTTGAAGAAAAGACCGTTGGGATGATTTGACTGGCAGTCTGAAGGTTTCAGGCATCAAAAGAATCATTACCACCCACCACTCTTAGGGGCTTGTCTCATCTACCTGATCAATAACTATTTTATCTGTCATTTCAACTTTATGGGGGGAAAAAAACAAGAATTATGCAAATCCTTAGAGGCCTTAAGATAACGGGTATTTTGTCAAACCAATTGATATGCTTGTTTCAGGTAGCAAACAGCTTTAAAAGTCTGTAAAAAATGTCTAGTATCTACTGAGTTTAATAAATGTTAGGCAATTTTTAAAAGTTGACTTTAGCCCTGGCCGGTTTGGCTCAGTGGATAATCAGCCTGCAAACTGAAGGGTACCAGCTTCAATTCCAATAAAGGGCATATGCCCAGGTTATGGCCTCGATTCCCAGTGTTGGTGTACAAGAGGCAACTAATCAATGATTCTCATCATTGATATTTCAATCTCTCTCTCTCTCTGAAATCAAGAAAAAAATTATTTTTTTTAAAAAAGTAGAATTTAAATATGATTAATACTGGTATAGGATTAAAAGAATGTACAAGACATAAAAATTAATGAAATTTGGGATATGTAAACAGAAAATGTTAAAATCAAAATAGGAACAGACGGTTGCCACTGTCACTGCTGAGACCTTAAATACATATTCTAAACTCCAAAGCAAAGACTTCTAATTTGTAAGACTGGAAAGAAGACAGAAAAAGGAATATAATTCTTGGACATAAATAATCAAAATTCATTCACTTCTAAGAAAAAAAGAAGAAAAGGAAATACAAGTGAACTTGTTAAATATAGATCTTTTATTAGGAAAATACTCTGGCTCTCCTAAGGCTAGTTTATTTTGCTTTTATCAGCAGTAACCTTACTCACCTGACATACTGAAGCATGTTGGAAGAACAACTTGGAAGAGTAAATAACTTTTAAAACATTTTCATTTGGCTTTTAACTGTATTATGGCATAGAAATCTGAAAATAAATATATCCCATTACCTAAGATAACACCTCAAAATAAGTAAATAAGAATGCTAAAACCATAAGTATCTCAGCGGGGTCTTAAACCTGCCAACCTTCCATGTGCTTTATTTAAAGATGAAACAAAGTGTTTTGTAAGTGCATTAGTATGCACTAAGTACTGTGGGGATATAAAGTTTACATCTATTGCCCTTAAGAAGCTTTCAATCTATGTGGAAGTTAAGATGTGCATGTAAGAGATCATCAGAAAGGAAATAGTATCAAATATATAGACAAGAATTATGATTAAGGATTGTATAAGTAAGAGTCCACTAAAAAGGTAGCCTTAATAGACTAAGGGGGAGGGAGGTGGATTTTTCCAGATTTGGGAAAGAAATTGTAAACCTGAGTCTGTAAAGAACTAGAAGGGTAAAATCAAGCAGTACTTTATATTTGCATAGGCCTCAATAACTGGTGATTCTCTGTACCCAAATAGGTATGTTTCCTCCAGCTGCCATAATTTTAATTACCGGTATCTTTAAGAAACAACAATCCTCAAAGAAGAGTAAATTAGTGGCAATTTCAACCTTACAATATCACATTTATATTTAAGAATTTTTGAGGTTATTAACCAAATAGGCCTCAACCTTTTCTAGGTTCCATCATTACCTTAGAACCAGAGTCCTACCATACACTAACAAAAAATAGCGCTTTTTCTGAAAATGACAATCTCAATTCCCAAAGGTATGTGTCCGTCTGTCTGTCTGTCTGTCTATCTGTGTCTATCTGTCTCTCTCTCTCTCTCTCTCTCTCTCTCTCTCTCTCTCTCTCTCTCTCTCTCTCACACACACACACACACACACACACACACACACACACACACACACACACCCATCCTGGGTCCTTCATCACCTCTGTATCACTAGATGTGCACCCAGGGGTCTAGGTCAACTCCCCCTTTTGCCCTAAGGCTAACTTCATGAATAAAAACGCGGAAACTAAATTTCCTACACTTTCCTTGGTGCTAACCTACCGTGCAATATCCATGACTATCCAGTCCTAATCTCTTTACCAAACAAGCAAATACAGAAGGCCTCATCAACTAAACTACAAAACATGAAAAATACCTGAAAATCCAGTTTGATCACACATCCCTTTGACATACAAAAGTTTGCATAATTTCATTGATACCATGCATTTTACTCAAAATGCAGAAAACGCCAATGTTTCACTAATTTTTAAACATCAAGCCCACACTTGGTCATTTTCGACCTACAATGAAACATTAACGGGCATCCCATTTAAACATTTCCAGTTAAGAAAGCCTGCCAAAGTAAAAAAAAAAAAAAAAAAAAAAAAAAAAAAAAATTAAGGAAATAGGGAAAATACGTTAAGCATGTAGATACACCTGGGGGGGGTTTTTTGGTTGTTTTTTTTTTTTACAATTACCTGGGAGACTACGGGGTGAAAAAATAAAATAAAAATGTAGGCTAACAAAGGAGACTGCAAGCAAGCCGGAGGGAGAAACAACACGAGGGGGAAAAGAAAAAAAAAAAAAATTTTTTTAAGGCAGCACCGCTAAACGCGAAAAGACTAACTATAAAAAAAATCACTTACTCGAGCTGGCCAATGGGGATAGCCTTTCATCTTGGCGAAGATGAGGTCTCCAGGTTTGAAATCGCGAGTCATGTTCGGTGAGGGGCGATGCGGGGGATCCGGCTCGGAAGCGCAGCCGAGAGGAGCGGCGGCGGGGACGGCGGCGGGGCCGACGGGAGGATGGAGCCTCGGGGAGTCCCAACGCGCCTGCCGGAGGGGGAGCGCGGAGGGCGGTTAAAGCACAGAAACCCGGAGGGAGGGGCCTCCGGGGAGGCCGGGGGAGGGGGAGCGCCCCGAGGGGGAGGACCGGGGGGGGGGAGGACCGCGAGGGGAGGGGGCGGGAGTGAGGGGAGGGCCGCCTCCCGCTCCTCCCCCGCCGGCGCGCGGCCTCGCAGCCCCAGAGCGACCCCTCCAGGCCCCCGCGGGCCCTCCGCGCCGCGGCCGAAAAGACGCCACCACCTGAGGCCGAGATGCTGCCCTCGGAAGCCCCAATGCTCCTTTCTCCCCCCGCCCCGAGCTCCCCCCATCCGGGTGGGAGCCCCCAGAGGGAGGGGGCGGCGGGGGGGGGGGGCAAATGGCAAAAGAAAGGGGAACCTCTCCATCCTCCCACGGCCGCCACCCCCGCTCCGACCTGCCTTCCGACGGCCGCCCCTCCGCGCCCGGGCGGGCCGCGGCCACTTCCCCGCTACAGCCCCGAGCGAGGCCGCCGAGGGGGGGCGGGGCGGCCCTCCGCCGCCCGCTCACCTGCTGCTGGGGCTGCGGGCGCCGAGGCTGCGGTGGCGGGCCGGCCCGGCCGCCGCTGCCCGCGTCCACGCAGGCCACCTGCGCCACCAGCTGCCGCAGAGGCGCCTCAACGGCTGCGAATAGCAATCGCCGCCGCCGCCGCCGCTGCTGCCGCCGCCGCCGCTGCGCTGCTCCCGCGCGGCTCCCGCTCGGCGCCCGCTAGCGTTGGGGCGAGACCAACTGCTCGCCCAGGAAGGGGGGGGGGCGCTCAGCGCAGCCCTCGCCTAAGGTGTGTAGCTCCGAAACGGAACGACCCAAGTCCCCTAAATCCTCATGTTCTCTCTTTTTTTCCTAAAAGTGACAGCAGAGTGGAGGGAGCGATTGGTGCGAAGGGGAAAGGTGTGGGCGAAGGTGGATGGGCCCGCGGCGGCACCCCCCCCTGCGGTTTGCAAAGTGGTCGGGCCCGGCCCGCCCCTGTTGGCCGCGCTGCGTGTGTGTGTGTTTGTATGTGTACTGTATGTAAAAGGCCGGGAGGGAGGGGACGCTGGCTGGGGACTGGGTTTGGGAGCGGGGATCCGGGCCTCCAGCCCATGACTGTATGTGAGAGAGAGGGCCTGGCAGCCTCAGCTGCATGTTCTTGCATCGTTTCCCAGGGTGGGGGAGCCCTGAATGGCTGCACTTGCGCGGTTTGCACCATCCAAAAAAGAACTGTGCAAAAAAACCCATAGATGTAATCCGAGCATGAGGCGGTTGCTGGGTGTGCAGCTTGTAGGCCTCTTACACTTCGCTGAATGGGCCTGGGCAATCTTTTTTTTTTCTTTTCTTTTCTTTTTCTAGAAACTGTAATATGAGAACGCCCATTCCTTTTCTTTTCAATTTAAAGCACCAAGGACTGTTAAGAAAATGCAGTTCCTAACGAATGCAAAATGTGATGAGTGAAAAACAATGACAGGAAAGCATAAGCCTTTCAGATAGGATGTGGGTTCGGACTCTTAAGTAAATTTTAACCGCGTCTCAATTTTAAATCCATAGTAGAATGGTTGCTGGTGAGATGTAGTGTTACTAAACCTCAAATGTATTATTCCTTTAAAATACTCTTAAGGAGAAAGAATTTGTAAACCTGAGTTTATAATTTTTTTTGATCCTTTAGCCAATACTGACTTAGAAAATTAGTAAATACTGCATTTTGAAAAGTAATAAAAATTCATTTTAAGTTTTTGTTTTATCTTTCGTTAATTCACAAAATAAGTACTGGTACCTACCTTGTGTCAGGCACTATTAGGTGCTATGCATACAATCATGAACAACAAGCACCAACAATTCCCATTTAAAACAATGAAAATGGGGCGGGGGGGTTCCATAAGAATATTAAATATATAAATAAATAATGGCATGGAGCTTATACTCCTTTAACTGAAGGACTCACAACTAGGACTAAATCAGGAAAACCTTTAAGTTGGGTAAACATTGAGAAAAATTTTTTGAAAGTGACACACATGCTTTTAAAAGGAACGAAATAAGACATTTCCAATGCAAAATGTCCTTCAAGAATTTCAAGAGACTAAATCATGTCTCAACAATATGCAGAAGATGCCCAGTGGTGAAAGAGAACTGATTGGCAAGGGAGTAGGTAGGTTTGGAGAAATGTCTTGAAGCTTCTCATCCAGACTTTGAGTTTGAAGCTTGGTATCTACTAGACATTGCTGAGCAAGAAAGGGCAGATTTGTGTTTTTTTTTTTGTTTGTTTTTTTTAACAAGTTATTCTTGCTCGCTACAAGGTAGATGACAATAGAAAGAAGCTGGAGGTTACTGTCGTACGCCCTAAGTGATCTATTTCTGGATGAGCCTGATAAATGAAAAAGGCAAGGAAGAGCACAGCTAAGTACACAAAGAACTAATTGTCAGGTGTTAATCAGAAATTGTGCAGGAGAAAAAAGTGGAGAAAGATGTATTAAGAAAGTCCCAAGACTGTGTAGGAGAGAGGAAGGCCTCACCCAGCAATCATTTCTTGTGAACCTCCTTTGTTGTAACCCCTGTAAGGCTTAACAACTCCAAGCGTAGTAGTCCGAGGCCCAGCAGCATGGCTTCAGCAGGGAGCTTGTTAGAAGAAACTCAGCCCCTCCCCAGAACTGCTTAATCAGAATCAGCATTTTAAAAAGATCCCCCAGGTGATTCCTATGCATATTCAACTTTGAGAAACAGCCTACAGAGGACCGGATGCTATAGACTATAAAATAGGGGAGACAGGCATACAATAGATAAATTATAATTAGTGTTAAAAGATAACTGTTTATCACTTTTAAATGATAGTACCAACAAGTAAAGAAGGGTGGTAACTGCAAAGGAAGTGAAAAGAAATGAAAGGAGACAATGGGACAATGGGAATGGGAAGGCATTGATGTTTTAGTGTTGTGGGGTTTGTTTTATTTTTTAAAGCACTAACTTAGCTCTTGCTTTATTTAAGTTTGAGCAATTTCAGTTTGATAGTCTGTGCACTGTGGTTGATACCCTTTAAACAATATGTCATGGGGGAAACAGGTGGTATTTTAAGCCTCCAGAGAACAAAAGGCAGGGTCCCTGGGAGCAGCAATCCGAATGGAAAGGGGAGGAGGAGTGAAGGAGGAGGGAGGGCTGGGCTCAGCAGAGCCACTAGGAGATGGTTTCTGAACTACTGACAGGCTGTGCTCCTTTAGCTCTGTTTGATGCACCCCTTCCCCCACAGCCACCCTTCCAAGTGGGGATGCCAGCAAAAGTATAGCAAGATAGAGATGAAAGGAGCAATGAGACAGTTATAAGGAGAAAGAATACATTTTCCAAATTGAAGCAAGAGAGAGGGGGGAAAGGAGATCTAAATGAACGGAGGCAGGATCTTGACTTACATTCTTTTTTTTTAATCCAGGTGCTACTATCCCCATTTCACAGATGAGGAAACAGGCTCAAAGAAGTTTAGCAGCTTGCCCAGAATCACACATAGGCAAGTAGCCACCTAGGCAAGCTTCCAGCCAGTCTGTTCTCCAGTCCCCGCCTTTGTGTGATCCCACACCACCTCTAGGTGGAGCCGGGAGCCAGCAGCTCTGCGAGCCCCAGAGCTCATAATGAGAAAAAGATGTTGCAAGTATAAGCAGCCCAGCGCTCTTCCACCTTCTGTCTTCCGACTAGAAAGTATTTCCAGCTTCAAATTTCTTCACAACCCCCCTCTGCCCCACCCCATTCCCCAGCTTGTCCCCACCACCAGTCCATTCTGTTTAACTCCTTCTAGTCCTAAAGGAATCAATCCAAAAAATCACCTCTGGCAAAGTCTCCATCCTCATCTCACTGTGGCATAATTATTGACAATCTTTCCAACCAGCCTTTCAAACTGCTTAGAAGTAGGCACGCGGTCAATTTTTTTCTCAGTAAATTTTGGTGGATTGAAACTGGACAACCAATGGGCCCGGGCTGCCTGCCTGTCACTACTTAAGCCAACTAAGCAGAGAAAGGGTTTATTCCAACAATGCCAGCAGTATGGAAGAGCAGCAGGTCATCCATGAAAATCTGCTCTGCAATCTCCCCTGCTCCCCCATCCCCAACACACACACACACACACACACACACACACACTCACTCCAGCTGCTTATATTGGGTAGAAGAATAAAGATTACATGGGGAAGTAGGCAAAAGGAATAAAAATGAGTATGCAAAAGAAATTAAAATGGGCCATGTGCTAAAACAGATCAGAATATGCTTTCTTTAATCAGAGCAAAACAATCATAGTTAACAGAGCATGATTAATATTACTTACTAAAGGCCCAGTGCATGGCTGGGGTCCCTCAACCTGGCCAGTGATCGGCCTATTCTGGGGCTGGCTGGGTAGGGCCGGCGGGGGGGGGGGGGGGGGGGGGGGGACTGCAGGAGGTTGGCTGGCCACAGGAGGTTGGCTATGGGAGTGCACTAACCACAGGGGGCAACTCCTGCATTGAAAATCTGTTCCCTGGTGGTCATTGCATATCATAGCAACCAGTCACTTGGTTGACTGGTAGTAGTGGTCACTTAGGCTTTTATCTATATAGATAAGTATAGCCAGTCCCCAATATTCTATTTCTGCCCCTAACAGAATGAATGAGAGGAAGGGGCAGATGAAAAACCCTGACAGGGACCTCCTCACCCTTTAGGCTAAGAAAGCAGCTATGAAGACACTTGAGGGTACTTATATCTGTTTAGACTTTGTGAATTTTTTATGTACTTACCCTTTAAAATCACTGACATTTTTCATTGACTACAAATACTTTCATTGTAACCATTTTAATGGAAATCATTGTAAATGAGATTTAACACATCCCCAAACTTTAACAGTGATAATCCCTCCCTCCACATCTTTTTTACGTATATGTCACTTTCCACCCTAATGCACAGTATCAGTAATACATCTTCAGCTTATTGGTGTGATTAGCTATTATTGAACTGTTCTCTCATGTGTGATATTAAGCCTGTGGTGGGGAAGTTAACCAGAATATGGGGAAAACAAACGCATTAATCAGAGCTATTCAGTCAGAGATGTCATAAATCTGATCTAATTACAGCTTCCCCCTGGAAACCAGTAAGCATTTGGAATTTTACCTCTAAGGGGGGGAAAATGAAGATGTCCTTGTTTCTGAGGCAGTGAGTAGATACACTGCTGAGATGGTGTTCCAATGAGGAGAGTCGTCCTCAGACAGACATTGGGGAAGCATTAATGGAACTGTGTGGCCATTAGAATAGCTGGAAATAAGGGAGACCAGGGCAGGGATGGATAGCTGATCTGGGGGCGCTGTTGGTGCCTACTCTGAAGGCCGCCTTGACTGTCTTGCGTGGAAATGTTCACCTCACTCCATGACCTCCTGCAATCACTTCTCATCTCAGGCGCTTGATTGGCTTCTTTCTTACGTCTCCACATCCAGTCTCAGTTGAGGCTTCTCTTATCCCACATGGTTGTGGATCACACAACTCTTCTTTATTCTTCTGCCTGGTTTTTATTTGTCTGTGCCTTTTTTCCTTCTCATCTTCTTCATAAGCTGCACGTTCTCACTTCCTGATTTGGGTACCTGAGAGGTGTGGCTTGGGAAGTGGAATTTTATTTTGATGACTGGGCCTACTCATGGAATGGTGTCTTTAATTATCTTTGTCCTTTGATTCTTCTGGGGGTTGAAGAAAACATTAGTGATTGCCAAGAGCTAGGAACTGTTAAAGGGAGAGGGATGGCATGGC